TCTAACAGTTTAATTAACCCAAACTGTCAAAGGTTATTAAAGACGTAAACCCCTCACTGCACGACAGCTGCACTTTCAGCAAACGATATAATTAAAGAAATCTCCGCTGTGTTGAGCGAGAGCGCCTACTGAAAGCGTGCTTTGGCCGGGTTCAAGGCAACTGTAGATAGTGTGAGGACGCCCTAAAACACTGCTGTCTGTTTCTGAGACACAAAGAGTGAAGAGCTCAGTCAGCTTCTCAAGAGTGTTAAAGTTTGTCTATAGTGACTGTAGTGAAAACTCACCCGCAGTCATGATCACTAAGATCAGAGGAAGAGATGCTCTGAAAGACCTCAACATAGTGACTTCTGCAATCCTACAAATGACAAATATGACAGTATGAGCATCATCTCTACACAACAGCTGCACACTGAATAACAATGACAAGTTGGCGCCACATTAGAAATGTTTGCCTGAAGGTGACCAGGGTTTGTGTCTTCACTGAAACATTGAGTATAATTATTTATGCCAATTAACACCACTTCAGTATTTTAGACAGGGCTGTCAACTCTCCTACATTCACTGTGAGATTTGCATTGGCTCAGTGGTTAGCACTGTTGCCTCACAGCAAGAAGGTCGCTGGTTTGAGTCCAGGCTGGGCATTTCTGTTTCAGTTGGCATTTCTGTGTGGAGTTTGCATGTTCTTAGCGTGTTGGCATAGGTTTCCTCCGGGTGCTCCGGTTTACCCCACAAGTTCAAAGACATGGGCTATACACTGTAAAAAATGCAGTTTCACACAATTCAGTCATGTTGTCCCAACACAAATCGAGTAAGTTAACTTAACACTTTTAACAAATTTGTGTGGATTGAACTAAAAAATTAAGTTGTCCCAATGAAATCTCAAGAATTGTGTGGAGTAGTAGGATGAACAAGTTAAAAAATTTTTTTTTTTTTTAAATGCAGGAGAATTGAGTAAACATAATTGGCCGTAGTGTATGAGTGTGTGTGTGAATCTGAGTGTACAGGTGTTTCCCAGCACTGGGTGTTGGCCGGAAGGGCATCCGCTGCATAAAACATATGCTGGAATAGTTAGCGGCTAATTCTGCTGTGGAGACCCTAATAAATAAGGGACAAAGCTGAAGGAAAATGAATATATAAATAAATCTGTTTAGGGTGTCTTTTCCCCAAGATTTTTGAGGTGAAATAAAAAACAAAGTATTACTTTTGTTATTTCACTCAGTATATAAAACTAAACACCACAGCTAACAGGTCAGTGACGACACGTCATCAGCAGAGTTTATCAACTGCTCCAGTTTTTAAGTCTTGCCAAAATAAACATTCAACGGACTCTAAATCAGACACTAACATGATGGATGCCGCGTCTCTACGTTTTCCAGCTGCAGAAATAACATCTGACTTTGTTCTCTGTCATATTTTATATTTGGATTCTGACTCAGCTTTAGTGATCAAGAGCGAGAGACACAGAATCAACATCCTGACCAAACCAAACACACACAATCACCACTAAACACCCTGTTTTCACAGCAGAACACAACTAAATAAACCCACACACACTAGTAAAGCAAACACATGAACATAAACCAGCATGAACAGAACTTTCTAATAATCTCTGGGGGAATAAAGTATTGTAAGTGTCCTTTGATTCTTTAGTTTGCCTCACGTCTCATTAGTCTCCAGTCCTGCAGAGTTTTGATAAAGCTGGTCTTCCTGTAGTTTTGGAGAAACTCTTAAAGCTGGACTGGTTTGTTCAGATGTGTTTGATTGGGGTTTGAGAGAAACTCTGCAGGACTGAGACTCTTCAGGATCAAACTTGTCTCTCCTGTGCTGTACGTTTCAGCTGAGCTTCAGAACAGATCAGCATTTGCAGAAACTCTTGTTGTTTTGAGGAGGAACTACATCATCTAGAATCTCACCTGGAGCCTGAGCGGCCCTGACCACAACATCTGTATTTATAACAGTTATTGAGCTTCTGTAACTCCTCAAATCAACATTCAGCAGATGCCTTTGTAACCCAGCCGGTGCTATGCCACTCAACCCGCTCCGAGTTGGTATCGAAACAGCAACCTTACGCAGTTGCTCTAACAAGGAGGTTAAAGACTATGGCCTCTAGCGACTGTTACTAGAGGTCAGATGAGTGAGGTTTACCTTCACAGCATTTCACTGGCTGGCCTTTGCTACACTCACCCTACTTAACCTCACTCCCATCAGGGTCACAGCACCAATGTAACCCCCCCCGGTCCAACACCACCCAACCCACTCCGAGCTGGGATCGAACCGACAACCTTCCGCATGGGAGTTGTTTGCTCTAACAAGGAAACTAAAGTCCATGGCATCTAGTGTCTGTCGCTAGAGCACCTTTAGAGGTCAGAGGAGTGAGATTTACCTAAACAGCATTTACTAGCTGGCCTCCGTTACACCTTCACACAGATACCAGCCGTAGATCAATAGAATTATTTTAGTGTTGAAATGCTCTTACCGTGCTGCCGTGTCTCAGTGTCGACACTCAAATGAGATCAGCAGTTCAAGCTATTACTATAAATGGACAGTTTTCACACTTTAAAAATACACTGATACAAATATTTGTCTTCCTCTTTCTGGGTCTGTATGAGATCATCTAAAAAACACCAGGACACCTCATGCAGTCGCTCTCGCCTACAGATGTCAGACAGCAGAATTCACTATTGTTCAGTGTTTGAGACGGAAAATGTGAAAACACAATCAGTTTGGAGACAGAACTGAGTAAAACACTTTAAATGAGTGTCTGAGCATCACCTGATGAAGCTTTGCAGCTCTGTTCTTTTTCCTCTTTTGTGCACGGACTCAGAAGTTCAGCTCAGAAGTGAACATGACAGATGACACACACATGAAATTCTCTGCTGACAGATTAATTCATTTAGAAAATGCTTCTTAAACACTAATAAATTACTAAAGGATGTAATCTCTGTTAAACTTTAGTTAGGGTGGCTTGATGAAGCAACGTAGTGTTATACGACATCAACTTCTTCTTTTTCTTAGACTATTTTAAGAAAGCATCTCCTCCTAGACCGTTTAAAGTACAACAACCAAACTCACTCCAAACCTTCAAACTATACTGAATTAGGTTGCTCTGTCTTTTCCAACTGATCCGACTTATGGCCTTCTGAAAACTGACCCGGAAAATTCTGAAAAGTCCCATTGACTTAACATTGGACAAAACTTTGTGACCTCTCAACTTTGCATCAGACTGTCATGCAGACTTAACTTTGGACTCATTCAACTCAGAATACCAATCTGCCAATCACCTACTAGCCACACCCTAGCAACCACTTATGGCACCCTAGCAACTGTCCCATACTTTCATGGTAAAAAACTGCCATTGACTTTACATTGGACATTCTAACAACATGCCTATTCATACTAGATACAAAATAACATACTAATCATAGGTGGCGAGTGTGTAGCGCTGTTGCCTCACAGCAAGAAGGTTTTGGCTGTGTCAGTTGGCATGAAGAAATTAATTCACAACTTCAAATTCAATATTATAAAATTCTAAACAGGAAATTCAGATCGTGAAATTCAGATTCAGCAGAAAGTAGGTCAGGGGTGATCAACAGGAAATTAATTTCTTCATCTTGAAAATTTAAAACTACATTTTTACAAACTTAATACCTGCAGTCTATTAATTCAAAACACAAAAATCTGAAGTTTGTAAATGCGTCTGTAAAAAAAATTCAGCCTTGAATTTTAAATTTTTGAGTCTTAAATTTCAGATGTACAATATTCAAGTTGTGAAATTAAAATTCAAAAACAGAAATTAAAAATATTTTAACGACATATAAAAATTCAGATTTATTAAATTACAATTGTCAATAATTCAAATTAACACAATTCAAATTCAGATTGTTTTAGCATATTATTAGCTCCATACTCATCCCGCTTTGTTCTCTGTTGCTCGTTTGTCTTGAACTTGTTTTGAAATTAAATCAAGTTTTCCGTTACGGTGGGCGGAGCTTCGAGTCACAGACTGTAATCTGATTGGTGCTTGTGTATCTGCAGTCTTTAAACACGTCTGCTTGTTTTTTAACCACATTTCACGATAAAAAATAATGAACTTAGATGTATTTATTTAATATTATTAATGTTAATGAGCTATTATAGGGATTTAAGTTTTTTCACTTACCATTATTTTTCTCAAAGTAATTCACCACTTCTTATTTTTATAATTCTTATTAAGTGTTTTTATTTTCTCACACTTGTCTTTTTATTCCTGTTTATGTAAAGCACTTTGAATTGCCATGGTGTATGAAATGTGCTATATAAATAAACTTGCCTTGCCTAATTTTAGCCTTTAATCATATTTTTATTTTGATCAAACTTTATAAAGACTGATTTAAGTCTTAACGGTCAATCTGAAAACACACACAGTCATCATAATTATGAAATCAATGTTTATTGTGTGATATATGACACTACAACACAACAGACATTAGTAGTTTACTCCAGCAAACACAGTTCAGTCAAATCCAGTCACTTTAATATAATTATTTACAGATTGATTTGAGTTTGAGCTGAAAACACTGCTCATCTGTACAAATCATCAGTTCAGTCTGTTCATCCTCCAGTGAAGAAGACACTAATTAACAATAATGAAGAAGAATTATGAAGGTTATATGAATATAATATATGAATGCATTTCTTTATATCTGAAATGTTGATTTCCTCCTGAAATGCATTTCCAGAACAAACACACTCTGTACAATAAACACACACATCAGCAAATAAGCCTGAAATCAGATGTTGACGTCCTCTAATGATGAGCAAAATCTGTGAATCAGCAGAACTCAAGCAGTCTCTGATCATCATCAACAACATCGAGCCAATGTTGTTTATTTGACTGAGCTGTAAATCACATCCTCACATCTGCAGACAAATGAGAAACTTTAAGCACTGAACATGTTTTATAAGGGTCTCAGTGTTTAATTGGGGTTGAGATGAATGTTTTGTCACCTGTTGCCATCAGACGGACGCTGCATCTCCATCTTCTGATGTTCTTCAGTCTTCATGTCTTTGTTCTTGAAGTGATGAACACTGGCGTATTGAAGATCCTCCACATCTCCTGCTTCTGCTCTGCTGGAGCGTTTGGGTTTCACTGCTGTAATGTTGGTGTAAAGATCCTCGCTCTGATTGGCTGATACTAGTGAATACACTGCACTGTCATTGGCTGAAGCTGTTTCTGCTGATCTGCCAATGGGATTCTGCTGTGGTTTAATCAAACATCACAGAAATATAATCAGTCCTGCTTTTAATATCTTCTTCAGGGCAGATACTTGTATTTTCAAATAAAATAATATTAATATCATGAGCAGTTTTCTGTAAATTCAGGTCTGTACTATCAAACTCACCTGAATTTCTCTGGTATCTTCAGCTCCACCGTCTCTCCTCTTCTTCTTCCTGAAGAAAAATATTTAAAAGTATTAAAAAGTAATATATAAACATTTCATTTTTATTAATGCCTCAGGTTCAGAAAGTTCTATATTCATTTTAATTTTTGAAACAGCCTTTTAATTCAAGATCAGCTCAGCATTCACTCACCATATGAACACAATAATGATGATGATGATGAAGATCAATCCTCCACATCCCGCCACAACCCCAGTAAGTGTGAGCAGAGCAGATCTCTGAACCGCTGAAACAAGACGCTGATGAAGATCATTTGACAGCAGAGACAGAAGAAACTGAAAGAGTGTCTGTTTCTAGAAAATACCTTCAGTGACTGAAACAGACTCTGATCTCTGAGAGCCATATTTATTCTCAGCCTCACAGTAGTATCGGCCACTATCTAGTGCACTAAAACTCTGTCCAGATCCAACAGCTGAGCTTTGACTCTCCTTAAACCAGATATATTTGACAGCAGGAGGGTTTGAGTCGCTGCTGCAGCTCAGAGTCACTGAATCTCCAGACACTATTACAGCAGATCCATTTATAAATACTGAGACATTCCTGGGAGGATCTGAAAAAGGAATAATTTGTTTACAAAAACAATTAAATATCTGTATAATTACTAATAAAACAATATGACCAGAACAAGGATCAGCCTGTTGTGTTAAAATACACTCACACATGACATTCAGCATCACAGGATCAGAGTTTTTCTCTCCATGTTCATTTCTGGCTCTACACTTGTATTCTCCACTGTGATCAGAGCTGATGTTTGAGATGCTGAAGATTCTTCCAGATCCTACAGATGATTCTTCTTTTAACCAGCTGAAGTTCAGTGCAGGAGGGATTGAGTCGCTGCTGCAGCTCAGAGTCACTGAATCTCCAGACACTATTACAGCAGATCCACTGACGGACACTGAGACGCTCTTTGGAGGATCTGAAAAATAATAACCATGTATTGACAATAAAAATGTAATGCAAGTAAAAGTCAATTAATAAAAACAGAGAATATATAATATAAAAACTATCTATACTAGACATTTGATACTACATAAATTCAAGAAATTAAATAAAAGATGAAAATCTAAACCAGTGAACAGTAAATAAACCAGCATCACCGCAACAAGGGTGTCAAAGCACAAATACAATGAATGATGATAAAACTGACTTATTATTGGATTATCTTGAATAAATCAAGTCTCTAATAATAACAAACAAATGTCAAGCGGTCTGTATAACAAATCAAAGAGGTATTTAATATATAATCATAATTATGCTTATGTGATACATTTCTACTATTAATCAGTCGATTTATACTCACATTCAACACTGAGATAAACAGATGGAGATTTCAGACGTTCTCCTGCTTTTCCTCTTGCAGCACATCTATATTCTCCAGCATCAGAGCGACTGACTGACTGCAGGTGAAGCTGATTATTCAGTGTTTCTCCAGTTAATCTCACTGTGTTTCTGGACCAGATGAATGTAGTTTCTTCAGGCAGAGAGCAGCTGCTTTTACAGCTCAGAGTGACTGAATCTCCCTCTTTTACACATTGTTTTGTCTCCACCTGCAGGCCTGACAGAGAAATTACAACTTGTAAATGTAAACAGTAAATGTCTATGCAAATAGTATTTTTACTAAATTAGTGTAAATTGAACTTCAAATTGAAGCAGTTCAGAGAGCAGTTATATCATAAAAACATGATGTTGCTGTTGTTCAGATGGCTGATACACTCCTGTAAAATAAAGAGCTGCTGTGTTCATGGAGACCTGAATAAAGTCCTGATCTCAGTTTATTTACCTGTGACATCAAGACGAGCTCCAGGAATCCCAGTCCATCTTTTATTCCATGCATCTCTGAATCTGCAGTAGTAGATGTGTTTATCAGCTTCTGTTACTGCAGTTAAAATGATGATTAAAGTGTCTTTATCTTCACTGACACACTGAATTCTTCCTCTTTTGTCTGGATCTGTACACAGGTCTGGAGGTTCTTCACCAGTTACAGCAGGTTTGGTTAAGACAGATTGCATAAGCTGATAACCATAAACAGAATATGTTGAAGTACAGGATATTTTAACTGTTGATCCTTTTAATGCACAAACATATGAAGGGCTGTAATTCACTCCAGATTCCCACAGACCATCAACCCCTGAAACACAGACATGAGGAAAACTGATCAGGCTATCAGCAAAAACAAAATCACAGAAATCTTTTGTTTTGCTCAAATATTTAAAACACACAAAAGATATCAGTTTGAGGAAAGCTTTACATGTTCACTCAAATGCAATTTAAGAAACTCCACATGTGAGATATTTCACTCATCTTCTTGTTTATACTCACCTCCTACTTTGACATAAACAGCAGGAGAGATCAGATGTTCATTTCCTTCTACAGCACACTGATAATATCCAGCATCATCATAATAGCTGACTGACCACAGCTGAAGCTGATTCTTTGTTCTGATTCCTTTATTTATTGTCTCTGTGTTTCTGTACCAGATGAATGTAGTTTCTTCAGGCAGAGAGCAGCTGCTTTTACAGCTCAGAGTCACAGAACCTCCCTTTGCAACAGTCTGCTGTGTCTCCACCTGCAGGTCTGACAGAGAAATGACAGCAGTTCAATGGTTTATCATTCTGTTTATGTTCTGAACCTTCTTTCTTCTCCAGAATACTTTTCATTTATGAACATTTCTTGTTTTGTCGAGAGCTGTCATAATATAATGTCATAAAAATGAATATATATACAAATATAAAAGCAATCACATATTTAACAAGGTTTAGTGAAATGGAGAGTATAGTTTTTTATTAGGTACAAATGCAAAAAAATTCATAGAAGCTTAGTAACATAAAATCCAACTGTTGGTGGCTTTGACTTTGCTTCATTTTACGCTGTCAAAATAAGAGTTCCACATACAGTACATAGTAAGTTTAATATAAACTTTGATGAACATAAAAACTAGAGAGGGAAATACACTCATGGAATTTACATGACAGCTAGAACACATTGGAGTTTGAGGCTCACAGTATGGTCATTTCCATGTACTGAACTCTTATTATTTGACTATACCTAGGTATTCCCAGATTTTCTTTAAAGGGCACCTTTAAATCAGCTTTGCTTTTGTTCTTATGTTTATATGAGTGAATCTGAGTGAATTTTACTTCCTGCTTTGCTACTGTTCGGACGTCTTTGCCCACTGCTCCGCTCTTCGCACTCTTGCTCTTATATCTTATACCCTAATTTTAACTTGAGCCTATCAGCACAGTGCTCAAACAACACAGCTTGAAGATCAGCATCGATTCTACAAACTTTCTGGAATATAGCTTTACTAACAAGAAAGGAATTACCGTCTAAACAATCCTCCCGCTACCAGCTATCAGCTGCTTACATTCCGGAGACGGGAAGACACGGCTGTGAAAATGCCTCTGGATCGGATTAATTCAGATTCTCACTGTTGTACAAACTGCCACAAACTTCTACAAAAGATTGCAGTTCTTGAAACGAAGTTGCTTGCGATCCGACCAGAACTTCAGCTTCATTGTGGATTCTCTCAGCACACAGCCGGTGAGTCCCATAAATCTGTTCCTGCTACTGTTTTGAGCACAGAAAAACAGAAAAGAACTGTTGAAAATGAGCATTGGCATAAACAAGGTGCGAGACCAAAGGGTACTCGAGGGGTCAGATCATACGCTGCCGCATTAGCGTCTTCTACCCCAAATACAGCTCGGACTCAAATACAGCTTCAGAACAGATTTGAAGTTTTGAGTAATATGGGTGAAGAATTCCCAAATGAAGTCAGACAGAGATCACATGATTCAGCAACTAATTCTGCATGGAACAGAGGCTCAAGGCCGACTAGACAGCGGCATTCTGCTCCGATCGCACCTGAGATAAGAACACTAGTCGTAGGAGATTCAATAATCAAGAATTTCAGGAGCAGATCTACAATGACATACTGCTTTCCTCATGCAACAGTTTCTAATGTAAACAAAGAGCTTGAGGAAGTTCTGAAAAAGCACAAGACGGCAAAACGGATTATCATCCATGTGGGGAAGAATGATATTCGGAAAGAACAGTCAGAACTGCTCAAGAAAGATTTCTGTGAGCTCTTGGAAACAGCTGAAAGATTGAAGGTTCAGGCGTTCATAAGTGGACCACTCCCTGCAAGAGGGACAAATATGTTTTCACGGCTTCTTGGTCTAAATGTATGGCTACAGAAAACATGTAACAAGAAAGGACTGAATTTCATCGACAACTTCAATCTCTTCTGGAACCAAAGACAGCTGTTTACATCAGACGGCCTTCATCCAAACAAACTTGGTGCAAAAGTGCTAAAGGACAATATTTTTTTCTCCCTCAATCATCCATCAGCTGTGTATGCCACTGAACTGAATTGTACACACACACCTAGCAAATGTCCAGATGACCACAGGACTTCAAATCAGCTCCTGAGTGGACTTGTGGCTGACGAATCACCCAAGGACAGTGATAATGCCACACAGCCAAAACACCCAATGTTGATAGAGACACTATCAGTTGCCCTCTGCTCAACACAGGCAGACTGTGACGCGTCAGAACAGCATCAAGTCTCGTCACTCAAAAATGATCCTCAGGAAAACATATTTCTGCAGACAGAATCTCCAGATGCACAGCCTCTGTCACCGGACACGTTCTCATTGTCACAATGTTCACCACTCTTGGGTTTTTCAAAAAAGATGGAGGAACTGGTGTGTGCTGGAACTAAACTTTCACACTCCATTGCCGCAAGCCCCCAGTTACCAACCAAAAAGCGGCCTGCTCCACAACCACCTATGAGCCCACCTGGAAGAGCCCTCCGATCACACCGCCAGGGCCCAAACAACAACGCCCCATCTTCAGCTGGTAATCACAAGAGCTCTCTGTGATGTGTGTCGGGGGCCTGCTTAGATAACAGTGTCTTTATCAAATGTTTTCAGAACAAGCAGGAACCCAGTGTGTCTGCAGCTTTCTCTAAGCAGATATGTGTTGTGTTAAGTGACAGAAAACCAAAGACTTCATCAGGACGTTTAGCAAATCATTCAAATCTGGTGTCTATTAAATGTAGATCTGAGACTACTATAGAAAAAACAGCTAAAACTGTTAAGTTAGCGCTTTTAAACATCAGATCACTCAACAATAAGTCTCTTTTAGTCAATGATTTTATCAACACAAATTGCCTTGATTTTATGCTTTTAAATGAAACTTGGCTAGATGACAGTTGTAGCGCAGCAGTTCTAAATGAAGCAGCTCCTTTAAACTTTGACTTTTTGAGTGTTTGCAGAGCTAATAGGAGAGGTGGAGGCATCGCTGCCCTGTTTAAAGATGTCTATGAATGTAAACAAGTGTCATTTGGTGACTATTTTTCTTTTGAATATCTGAGTATAGCACTAAAAGGGTCTCCACGCATCTTACTGATCATTATCTACAGACCTCCAAAATATTCTCCAGCTTTTATTGAGGATTTTACAGAGCTGTTATCAATAGTAACCTCTGAATTTGATTATTTTAGTATTGCTGGGGATTTTAATATTCACATTGATAATCCAGAAATCAATGCTGTAAAAGAACTGATGACTGTTTTTAACACTTTTGATCTGACTCAGCATGTTCAAGGACCCACACACAATCGTGGACACACCCTTGATCTACTTATAACTAAGGGTTTACACATTTCATCGACTGTTGTTAAGGATGTGGCACTATCTGATCATTTCTGTATCTTTTTTGATATATTGATCACTCCAGCTATTAAAGACAGATCTGTCTCTGTCAGAAAGAGATGCATAAATGAGAACACCAGTGAGCAGTTTATGAAGGCCATATCACTAGCACCAAGTATATCTGCAGATTCTGTTGATTCTCTCCTTGATTTGTTTAATTCTAAAATTGAGAATGTCATAAATGACATCGCTCCTGTTAAAGTCAAGAAGATGACTGGCAGGCAAAAGGGATCTTGGACAAGGTCACCGAGAGTACAAATGATGAAAAGACAGTGCAGAAAAGCTGAGCGTATGTGGAGAAAGACGAAACTAGTAGTCCATTATAACATCTATAAAGACAGTCTTCATGCCTTTAATATGGAACTAAACACTGCTAGACAGACTTTCTTTTCAAGCCTTATAAACAGCAACTTAAATAATGCTCGCACACTCTTTGCAACGATAGAGAGACTCACAAACCCCCCCAGTCAGATTCCAAGTGAGCTCCTCTCTGAAAGCAAATGTAATGAGTTTGCTCATTTCTTCACTGATAAGATCAATAATATCAGAAAGGCAATCAGCTCATCCAATCAGTCAAGTTGTGTCGATATCAAACAAGCTCAACCACAACTTGAGAAGTCAGACATTATGTCTGATTTCATGGCAATTAACGGCAAAATCTTAGAAGAAATTGTGCAAGTTATGAAAACATCAACCTGCAGTCTTGACACGCTCCCCACATCATTCTTCAAAACGGTGTTTACCTGTTTAGAAATGGATCTTCTAAAAGTGGTAAATGCTTCACTTCTCTCAGGGATTTTTCCAACCTCACTTAAAACTGCAGTTGTTAAACCCCTCTTGAAGAAGAGCAACCTGGATAACACCCTATTGAGCAATTACAGGCCAATCTCAAATCTCCCTTTCATTGGCAAAATCATTGAAAAAGTTGTTTTTAACCAGGTTAACAAGTTCTTAAACTTCAGGGGGTGTTTAGACAATTTTCAATCTGGTTTCAGAGCACATCACAGTACAGAGAGCGCTCTTATAAAGATAATCAATGATATCCGCCTAAACACAGATTCAGGTAAAATAACAGTGTTGGTATTGCTCGATCTCAGTGCTGCATTTGACACTGTCGATCACAGCATACTTCTGGATAGGCTGGAAAACTGGGTTGGGCTGTCTGGCACGGTCCTCGAATGGTTTAGATCTTACCTTGAAGGGAGAGGTTACTATGTCAGTATAGGTGACCACAGGTCGAGGTGGACACCCATGACATGTGGAGTCCCACAAGGCTCGATTCTGGCACCTCTGCTGTTCAACCTTTACATGCTCCCTCTAAGCCAAATAATGAGAAAGAACCAAATCTCCTACCACAGCTATGCTGATGACACTCAGATCTACCTAGCCTTACAGCCTAATGACTACAGCCCCATTGACACCCTCTGCCAATGCATTGATGAAATGAGCAATTGGATGTGCCAAAACTTTCTTCAGTTAAACAAAGAGAAAACTGAAGTCATTGCGTTTGGGAACAGAGATGAGGTTCTCAAGGTGAATGCGTACCTTGGCACTAAAGGTCAAACAACAAAAAATAAGGTCAAGAATCTTGGTGTGACTCTGGAGTCAGATCTGAGTTTCAACAGTCATGTCAAAGCAGTCAGTAAATCAGCATACTATCATCTCAAAAACATAGCAAGAATCAGATGCTTTGTTTCCAGTGAAGACTTAGAAAAACTTGTTCATGCTTTTATCAGCAGCAGGGTGGATTACTGTAATGGACTCCTCACTGGTCTTCCTAAAAAGACAGTCAGACAGTTGCAGCTCATCCAGAATGCTGCAGCCAGAATTCTAACCAGAACCAGAAAATCAGAGCACATCACACCTGTCCTCAGGTCTCTACACTGGCTGCCAGTTACATTCAGAATAGATTTTAAAGTATTACTACTGGTCTATAAATCACTAAATGGCCTAGGACCTAAATACATCACAGATATGCTCACTGAATACAAACCTAACAGATCACTCAGATCTTTAGGATCATATAAACTAGAAGTTCCAAGAGTTCAGTCAAAGCAGGGTGAATCGGCTTTTAGCCACTATGCCCCTTGCTGCTGGAATCAGCTTCCAGAAATGATCAGATGTGCTCCAACATTAGGCACATTCAAATCAAGACTGAAAACACATCTGTTTAGCTGTGCCTTTACTGAATGAGCACTGTGCTGCGTCCGACAGATTGCACTATTATGTTTTTCTCTTCTTCTTCATTCTTTTATATCACATTTTACCTGTTTTTATGTTTTGTTTTTATGCATTTTTATTATTGTTTTTATTTTTATTTTACTTGTTTCTTTTATTCTTGTTTATGTAAAGCACTTTGAATTGCCATTGTGTATGAAATGTGCTATATAAATAAACTTGCCTTGCCTTGCCTTGCCTTGAATCTGAACTGCAGCCTGAGAACAATCAAGAATGTTTATTTTTAATTCATATTTCACATTTCCTGACTGGTTTTTGGCTTTTCTAAATGGTGCACTTGTATTTTTTATGATCATAAACAAACCCTCCCGAACACTTGGCATATTTCATTAACATTCATCATTTTTAGTCTCTTTTGCAATGTTTTATAAAGCAAAGTTCACTATTCTTCTGGACTGGATCTGGACTCTGAATCTGGAATCTGGACTTAATTTATTCAGGTTTTTGTTAAGAAACATGAAGATCCACAGCAAATACAGAAAGATTATAAAGTGTTGGCTGTGTGTGTTTCTGATAGTTCTGCTTCTACCTGTGACGTCCAGCTGAACTCCAGGAATCCCCGTCCATTTTCCACCCTCAACATCAGTAGTGAATCTGCAGTAGTAGATGTGTTTATCAGCTTCTGTTACTGCAGTCAAAGTGATGCTGGAAGTGTCTTTATCTTCTCTGACACACTGAACTCTTCCTGTTTTATCAGGGTCTGAACACAGGTCTGGTGCTTCTCCATCAGTTACAGCATGTTTGGTCCAGTAGACTGATCTGAGCCGATGATCATGAGGATATTTTACAGTACAGGATATTTTCACTGTTGATCCCTTTAATACACAAACAGATGAAGAGCTGTAATTCACTCCCCAACCCTGCTGACCATCAGACCCTGAAACACAGACATGCACAAAACAAACATTTATAAACTAGTTTAAAAGTAGATTAAAGGCTTCTCTTTTAGTAAAGCATATACACAGTCCATCCCACAAGTTTATGTCCAGTGAAATGCATCTCATCAAATGCATCATTTCATATTCACATTAATATCTCATATAAAATAATAACAGCAGCTACACCGGTGGTGGGCAAACTCAGTCCTGGAAGGTCGGTGTCCTGCACAGTTTAGCTCCAACTCTAATCAAACACACTTGCTTATAGATTCTAGTGATCTTGAAGACACTGATTAGTTTGTTCAGGTGTGTTTGACTAGTGTTGGAACAAAACTCTGCAGGGACACCAGCCCTCGAGGATCAAGTTTGCCCATCCCTAAGCTACACCAATTCTCTTTTTCAACCCAGACTCATCATGGATACGTACCACAGTATGCATTTCTGTAGAGAGCAAAATACGTCCCAGGAAGTAAGTTTTTTTTTTTGTGTGTGTGCAGTTTTTTATATTTGCAAATCCGCCAGAGGCCGTATGTGTGCGCTTTTTCAGATCTCAAATTTCTCTTGCAAATGCCAATAATAATACATTAAGATGTATAATATAAATAAACCGCATATACGTCACCTCTTTGAAAAGTACACATTATTGTATAACTGCAGGTTGACTATCTATATACTGTCCACCCTATACACAGCACACTAACTCTTGCTGATTTTGATTGTGAAGTAATAGTGTGCACCTGTGTGAAGCTGCTTTAGAATGATCATTATTGTGAAAAGCGTTAAACAAACAAACTTTTACAATTGATTTGAAATTTGTTTTTAAATTGTTTTAAAATGTAATCACTTTTGACCTTTTTCATTGTCTCTGTCAGTAAAACACTGCTGTCGGTTTCTGAGACACAAAGTGTGAAGAGCTCAGTCCGCTTCTCAAGAGTGTTAAAGTTTGTCTATAGTGACTGTAGTGAAAACTCACCCGCAGTCATGATCACTAAGATCAGAGGAAGAGATGCTCTGAAAGACCTCAACATAGTGACTTCTGCAATCCTACAAATGACAAATATGACAGTATGAGCATCATCTCTACACAACAGCACAAACTCTATTGTGTGAACAGACTGTAGATGGAGAACAGGATCATCTCTGACATGATCTGACTTTACTAAACACACTAGTAAAGCAACACATGATCATAATCCAGCATGAACAGAACTTTCTAATAATCTGTGGGGAAATAAAGTATTGTATGTGTCCTTTAATTCTTGAGTTTGAGTGAGGAGGAACTACACCATCTAGAATCTCACCTGGAGCCTGAGCGGCCCTGACCACAACATCTGTATTTGTATCTGTTTATATCTGTTATTGAGCTTCTGCAACTCCTCAAATCAACATTCAGCAGATGCCTTCATACAAATATCAGCCGTAAATCAACAGAATTATTTTAATGTTGAAATGTTCTTACCGTGCTTCAGTGTCTCAGTGTCGACGCTCAAATGAGATCCTCAGCAGGTCAAGTGGTCAAGCAGTTTTCACACTTTACAAATGGGCTGTTAAATATTTGTCTTCCTCTTCCTGTGTCTGTATGAGATCATCTTAAAAACACCAGAACATCTCCTGCAGTCGCTCTCATCTACAGATGTCAAACAGCAGAATTCACTATTGTTCAGTGTTTGAGAGGGAAAATGTGAAAATACAATTAGTTTGGAGACAGAACTGAGTAAAACACTTTAAATGAGTGTCTGAGCATCACCTGATGAAGCTTTGCAGCTCTTAGTGTCACTTCCTCTTGTTTGCACAAACTCTATTTTCACTCATGAAGTGTTAACATGACATACGACATACTTAACCACATTCATATCCATCAGTGGACATTAAAGTGGGCGTTTAAGTGGGTCAGAGGCCGTTTCTGACAGACAACACAAGAGCTCTGCTGAAGATTAAAATACTTCCTTAACACTAATAACTAAATGTTTGAATATCTCAGAAATTGTTAAATTAGGATTATTATTATTATTACCTTAAATCCCACATAGCAAAATTTCTCTGGCCCAGCTCTGGCCCATACAATCAGGTTTTGATTGGCCCACATGCCGCAGTGAATTACGGTACATGACTGGACCAAATCTGGCTTCCAGACAAGAGCCAAACACAGACCATATCTGGGCCAAGTCTCAGCCAAGTTAATAACTCATAACTGGGCCTGAACTGGGCCAGATAGGTTGGTGTGTCACGATTGCAATGAAATTGATAAACCCATTGAGTGATGTGCTTTATGCCTAGTTCACACTAGAGGATTTTAAGCCTGATTTGAGCCCGATTTGGAAGTTAACGAGCTCGCCGACAGATCGGGCTGTGATCGGGAAAAAATTTGCGGGTGCTCGGCGCTCGCCGCTCTTTATGTGTGAACTACTGAGCAACGCATCAACGAGGCTCGCTGACGCGTCGCCGACACCTCGCAGACGGAAATCCAATATTCAGCATGCTAAATATTCCAGAGCAGTCGGCCGACTCAACCCCACGTGTGGTCAGATGTAGTGACGAGCTGCAGCCAATGAGAGAGCAGATCAGCATGAGCTGAATGGCTGTGTGTTCAGGAGCTCAGCAGAAACATCTGTGATTGGTCAGAATGGGCATCAGTGCACTCACTTCATTCTGCGTTAGCACAGACATGAGAGTAAGCTATATTAACAGTGAAACTAGAATTCTGTAACTATTAGAATTACCATACTGCTCATTCTGACCGTTCTAATATAAAACGCCATACTGTCACAACATATTTACATTCAAAGCTGTTATTGAGATATTAAAATTAAGCTTTGAATGTCTGGCATCATATTTAATGACACCATTACCCTAAAAATATAATATTTTTTTGGTAATACAGCCTATAAATATGTAGTTAAGATACTAAAACACTTAAAGGTCTTGGCTTTCATTTTCACTTTCAAACAGAAGCTATTTAACAGCACAGAATATGCTGTTTTAAAAAGATATCTGAAGTAAATTGATGTTTTTGCCATCAGAAAGTTTTGTTTATGTTAGCAGGAAGTTTCCAGGCAAGAAAATGCACACATATTTAAAGTCACAGTGAAAAGTATCAGACATGCATGCAGTCATTTTGACCAATATGGTAATTTAAGGCAGAAACGCTCAGTTCTTTACTGTTTTGTAATTAAAAAAATATCAATGTCAGAAAGAAATACACTGATAGTTAGAAAACGGCACGGTGTTATAAATATGTTAGTTTTATTTCAAAGAGTTATAAAATTACAAAAATTAAAAACTCTCTGTGTATCTATCCACTGGAACCTTGCAGATGAGTGATTAATCCGCTGATAAATCAGCTGATTTGACGATGTTTTTAAATGCTTTCTCCAAAGCTTGAAACTCTGTCAGCGATGTCATCAGCACACAAGCAGCCAATAGTGTTCAGCTTTTTTCTGATGACTCCTCCCTCAAATTTTCATTGGCTGTGGTTTGGTAACTTGAATGAGCTGATGGGGAATGAGTTGTTGTCAGATCATGTAGTGTGTGACCCCCCTCTTGTGGATCATTCACGGAGTGTTGCGTAGTTTGAACACCACAAAGATCAAAAGACACAAAGTCAAGTCATGTAGTGTAAACAGCACAGCGATCTGCTGATGTTTAAAATCCTGTAGTGTGAACCAGGCTTTAGGCACACTATGGGCAGGCTTTTTCTCAAAGTGACCTGATTGGTAGAATTTTTTTTCTTTACTCAAAAATGATTTTAGTGTATTTTAAATGTGGGTCAAGACTGACCAAACTCACATGGCCCACTTATCAAATTTTTTAATCTGGGTCAAATACTACGTTTTTCATCTGGCCCAAATCTTGTGTGCCGCCTTAAAAACGGTGCCACCTCTGCCAAACCTGGGCCATGTTTGGCCCACATGCTGTATGCCAGTGCCGGATGAATGCCTGCTGTGCCAGCTTTATGCCAAATCTGGGCCAGAATTCTTTGCTACTAGGGAACTTTAGTTCAACTTTAATCATCTTGTGGACAGAAAGATCAAGTGTGTTTTACTGCTGCTGCTGATTTTATGTGGAGGAGAACCAAACAAAACCTAATATATAATATATATAAATAAATATATATGACTTGTTAATCTGGTTAGCACTGTCACATAAAGGGTCAGCAAAAGGGTTTCTGGATCGAGTCCCGGCTGGGTCAGTTTCTGTGTGGAGTTTGCATGTTCTTGTGGGTTTCCGGGTGCTCCGGTCCACACGCTTTATAGCGGGACTTGGTGACATAAATTGGCTGTAGTGTGTGTGTGTGTGTGTGTGTGTGTGTGTGTGTGTGTGTGTGTGTGTGTGATAAAATAAGGGACTAAGGAAAGTTAAAAAGTAAATGAATGAAATCAGGACAGTCAGAGGCATCGCAAAGAATTCTGGGCCGCTTTGGGATTTAAACTTTGGATTTAAATGGTCAACTCTACTTGTCCACTTCTCTGAATGTGATATTAGTATATTTTACATTAATAAACACATTTTTGTCACTTATCTCGCTTTAAACAGCTGCAGCTTCTCTGTTCTCGCCGTTGCTCGTTTTAATGGAGATTATTTTGGAGAGAAGTCAAATTTTCTGTTACGGTGGGCGGAGCTACGAGTCACAGACGGTAATCTGATTGATGTTTAAACATCTGCAGTCGTTAAAACTCGTTTGATTGGCCATATTTTATCATATTGTGTAAGGAAAATAGCGAATTTGAATTCATTATTAACTATTAATCAATATGTATTATAGTTATTAGCATATAAATCAGTTTCAGTATTGTGAATGTACACTTCTGGCCTTTTATCAGATTTTATGAAACCAATAAAAGTCTGTCACTGGAGGACAATCTGAAAACACACATGAACTGCACTTACTGTAATCATTAAATACACTACAGAAATGTTTATTATAAAATCAGACATTATACAAAATAAAAAACACAGTAAAAACTGTCAATACAGCACTTTAATAGAAACCGATACAGATTGCATTAAGATAAAACAATGCTTGGGTTAAAGCTTATATTTAACTCTGTTTAGAAAGTTTAACTTTAATATTTGAATTGGCAAGTGAAGCAAACAATAATTTAAAATAATGAGGAAAACACTGCCAGCCCTAAAATCTAATATAAATCTAATATAAATGCTATATTTTATCCTAAACTGTGTTTGCATAAGCAGAAGAATCCTACTGTGTGAATAAAGTCTAATATGTGTTTATGAGCAGTCAGATGTTGATGAGCTCTAATGATGATCAGTTTCTGAGGAGCTTCAGTATTTGCCTGTATATGAGCAGTAATACAGCGAGGAGAGTTTAATGTGGATCTGCTGAAGCTCCTGCTACATGTAGAGTCTCATATTCAGAAGATCTGGACTGAAGCTCAAGAGCCGTGTAGGTCTCATCATCAGGAGCTCTGGAGCCGACAGACTGTGAGAGAAACACATGAACACATCAGCCTGTGTTTATCTGGATCTGATCAATCTGACTGGAAAAGTGTTGCAGACATTTACTGACTGGGATTGTGCTGTAAACGTCAGCAGATCTTCTGGACGCTGGATCCAGAGCTGTGTACGTATCATCAGTGGAGTCAGCGCTCTATAGAGAAACATTTCTACACTTATACTGCATCACACACACACACACATCTGTGTTTATAATTCAGTGTAAACACACAAGCATATTGAACTGCAGCTGTAGATGGAGGAGTGTGTTTCTCACCTGCTTTTGCTCCACAGCTTCACTTCCAGCTGCTCTCCTCCTCTTAACACTGAAATCACAGACATATTTAATTTATTAAATACATAGAAACAGTCCATTTACAATGAATGTGAGATGTTTTAAACTGTTAAGAAGTTTCTGTGTTCAGACAAACTCTACTCACCATATGAACACAATAATGAAGATGATGATGAAGATCAATCCTCCACATCCCGCCACAGCTCCAGTAAGTGTGAGCAGAGCAGATCTCTGAACCCCTGAAACAAGACGCTGATGAAGATCATTTGACAGCAGAGACAGAAGAAACTGAAAGAGTGTCTGTTTCTAGAAAATACCTTCAGTGACTGAAACAGACTCTGATCTCTGAGAGCCATATTTATTCTCAGCCTCACAGTAGTATCGATCACTGTCACTGGAGTTAAAGCTGGAGATGTTAAAACTCTGTCCAGATCCAACAGCTGAGCTTTGACCCTCCTTAAACCAGGTGAAGTTCACAGCAGGAGGGTTTGAGTCGCTGCTGCAGCTCAGAGTCACTGAATCTCCAGACACTATTACAGCAGATCCACTGACGGACACTGAGACGCTGTTTGGTTTGTCTAAAAAATAATAACCATGTACTGACCATATATATATATATATAAACAGAATATGCTACAAAAAAATCAGTGATGAAAATCTAAACTGGTGAACAGTAAATAAACCAGCATCACCTCAAGAAGGATGTTACAACACATGTTCACAAAATGATTATAAAATGCATTTAATAATACATTATTCTTAATAAATCAAGTCTCCAATACTAACAAACACAATGCCATGCAGTCTGTATAACACATTAAAGAGTTATTTAACATAGATATAATCATAATTATACTTATTTGATACTGTTCTACTATCAATCTGTGGGTGTGTTCTCACATTCAACACTGAGATGAACAGGTGGAGATTTCAGATGTTCATTTCCTCTTGCAGCACATCTATATTCTCCAGCATCAGAGCGACTGACTGACTGCAGCTGAAGCTGATTATTCAGTGTTTCTCCAGTTAATCTCTCTGTGTTTCTGTACCAGATGAATGTAGTTTCTTCAGGCAGAGAGCAGCTGCTTTTACAGCTCAGAGTCACTGAATCTCCCTCTACAACAGTCTGCTGTGTCTCCACCTGCAGGTCTGACAGAGAAATCACAACAACTTTCTGTCAATGGTGTCTTAAGTAAAAAATGCAGTTGTCACATCATCTTGGAAATGATACTAAAATCTAAAGCTGTTCAGGCTGATGATGCAGATGCTGAAATGACAGTGTTCCAGTTATAAAGAACAATTGAATAAATTCTGATGGCTGATGGTTGGCTTTATTGGACAGTTCAGATAGTTTTACCTTTGACATCAAGCCAAACTCCAGGAACCACAGTCCATCTTCTATTCCACTTATCTGTACAGCTGCAGTAATATTTGTGTTTATCAGCTTCTGTTACTGCAGTCAAAGTGATGCTGGAAGTGTCTTTATCTCTGACACACTGAACTCTTCCTGTTTTATCAGGGTCTGTACACAGGTCTGGTGTTTCTCCATCAGTTTTAGAAGTTTTGGTCCAGAAGTCTGGTGTGAGCTTATAATCATCAGTATATGTTGGAGTACAAGACATTGTCACTGTTGATCCTTTTAATGCACAAACAGATGAAGGGCTGTATTTCACTCCCCAATACTGCAGACTATTAATCCCTGAAACAGAGATGTGACAACACTTTAAAACACACAGCTAAGATCCATGTGATGTTTGGTTCAGCTGTGTTAATTTACACAGTAAATTTAGATTTTAGTCAGAACAAAAGAACAAGAACAAAAGATAGCGGATTCAAGTGCAGAATTTAATGATATATCGTGCAGAAAACAGTGACAAAAATCCAAAAATATCAAAGAGCAAAGTAACAAACAAACAAACAAAACAAAAAACTAAGACAGGTTAACACGTACTAGACTATAGCAAAATACAAGAACAAGATCAAGAAACTCGGTATGCAAGACTTACTAGGACTGGAGACAAGAAAGACATGGAAGACAAACGACGCGATGATCAACAGTGGTGGAATGATAGGATATATAGTCCAGATAATCAACGGTAAAACAGATACAGCTGTGTTGGCAGATCAGTGTATGTGTTCCGGTGTACGCGCGTGGTAAGTATGAAGTTGTAGTCTTTTTGGGACGCTGTAGTTCCTTCTGAGACCTGTTGAACTACAGCGCCCTCGGGTGGTCACTGACCATCGTGACAGATCCAATGAAATAAAAATTCTTGGCTGAAGCATAATAAAGCACTTTGCTGAATATCAAACACTAAAATGCATTTACCTTTGCATAAATAAAAGCTCAAAGATAAATCAAATGCTTGAAGCTCAAATCACTGCCATGCAGAATATTTTGTCTGATTGGATCTTACCAAATTGTCCTTCCCTAAACATTTTCAGTTCTACTTTATTCATTAAAAAACAACGTCAATACATTGGCATCACGGTGGCGCAGTGGGTCAGTTGACTTTTTGTGTGGAGTTGCATGTTCTTCCTGCTGTGGGGTGAGTTTCCTCAGGGTGCTCCGGTTTCCCCCACAGTCCAAACACATGTGCTATAGGAATTGATATAGGAATTGAATAAACTAAATTGTCCGTAGCGTATGTGTGTGAATTAATGTGTATGGATGTTTTCTGGTGATGGTTAGGGCCAGACGGAATCAATGGACGTTTTTTGCTATTTCTGCGTAGAATTTTGGTAAAAATCTGAGGATTTTTGCTAAATTATTTTGTGAAAATCAAAACTAAAACCCTAATATGTTCATTAAAAGTAATATTTTTTTAAATTTTATTTAATGTTTAAAATGTAAATCCAATTAGATCCACTGTATTTGGCAAACAAAGCAAGTATCTCATATATTTACTAAAAGACAGACAATATTACTGGAAAAACTCTTTAATTGCAAACATACCCAAGTAAACGACAAATATTCCAAATGTGTGAAATGTTTTACTCATGCTAATAAGTTAGTTTGTACTCACAACCAACTTTGAGAAAAACAGGTGGAGATTTCAGATGTTCATTTCCTCCTGCAGCACATCTATATTCTCCAGCATCATTATAGGTGACTGACTGCAGGTGAAGCTGATTATTCAGTGTTTCTCCAGTTAATCTCTCTGTCTTTCTGAACCAGATGAATGTAGTTTCTTCAGGCAGAGAGCAGCTGCTTTTACAGCTCAGAGTGACTGAACCTCCCTCTACAACAGTCTGCTGTGTCTCCACCTGCAGGTCTGACAGAGAAATTACAACATTTAAAAATCATAGTAGAGATCTGTGCAAGACTAAAATTTTTTTAGTTTTAGATCTAATTTTCCAAAATCTCACGGTAAAATTGTCCACTGCCAAAAGAGAGAGAGAACAGATAAAAGTGTAGGTTGTGCAAGGGTTGTAGGCTAAATGTCAGTTTTGTTTGCCCCTTTGTGATGAGACATGAGTGCCGTGTGACTTGAGTGAGGTTTGTGGCTGGTGAGGCATTGACTCTTTCGAAGTCACATTTACAAACATTTTCACTCAATATATTTGACAACTACCGACTGTGTTTCATATATCACATCAGCCAGGGGCACAACTGCAAATTTACTGAGGGGTATGCAGGTTCAAGTTTTGCTCACCCCCCTTGTTAACAGGTTTCAAACATATCAAAACACAACTGAAAAAGTATGAAGAAGTAAAAATATAATTACACTAAGCCTGTAATGAGTCACAAATAATTACATCCCATCCCACCCCAAATTTTTTTTCTTGAATTTTATTTTCCTCATTGAATGATTATAGCACCCTGACATGCCTTGCTTTTGTGCTACATTTGTCAAAACAAAATGATAGATATGGGAGTCCTAAAGGGCAAAAAAACATAAAAATGAATTCACTTCTCATATGCGAGGTGTAAGGTCTTTACATGAACAATTGACTGACAGTGCTATTACACCCCTCACAAAGTGAAATAAAAAAGACTTTAAAATTTAAAAAAATAAAAAATAAATTTTGTAAAAAATTTTGTAAAAAATAAGCAGAGACAAACTGCCTGAAATGTTTTATTTTATCAAAATATTATGGGCAAACTTTTTATAATTAAATTTTTTTAATTATCAAAGGCCCGATGTATAAATATAGTACATAATAAATTTATAAAAACATGTATATGGTATAAAATAGATCTTGTTAGGATTAATAAACATTATAAATGTATATGTAAATATACTGACTATTTGTTCATGTGTCAGTTTTAACAGGGTTAAAAAAACATTATAATCATTATACAATTTATACAGGGGAATTTTTTATCCAAATGTTATTTAATTTATTTTTTTTTATCCAGCTGCAACGGATCAATCAAATGGTCAATGGAGGTGGAGGGGCGGTATGATTTTTTTATTTATTAAATACAATATTATACTCATATAAAATGCAAAATAAACATTCTTTACAAAAAAATATTTATTTATTTTGATATTTGAAACTTTTAGTAAGGAAAATTTCAAAAATAGTGACTCCGCATGTGTGGTGCCCCTATGAAACGCATATAGTGCAAACCCCTTTTTGTGCCTCTGATATCAGCATCATTTCCATACATGTATCAGATACATATTGGGCCACAGAAGAATACATACATATATATATATATATAAATAGACCTCCTAAAAACACCTAGCTGGAATCCTGACAGCCTATAGCAGTGGTCACCAAAGTTGTTCCTGGAAGGTCGGTGTCCTGCAGATTTTAGCTCCAACCCTAATCAAACACACCTGAGCAAGCTAATCAAGGTCTTACTAGGGCCCCGTTTACACTAATGCGTTTTAGTTTGAAAACGCATAAGTTTTGCTACGGTTACGCCATCCGTCCACACTACGCCGGAGTTCTCGAGCGCCGAAAACGGAGCGTTTCGAAAACGCTGGAGAGGCCGTTTTCATTCTGAAACGCAGCTGCTCCGTCTCAGTGTGGATGGGGAAAAAGGAGACATTTGAAAACGGAGGCGGGGCTGCAGACATTCGCCTCTCTGATTGGGGCTTTTCCTGAATATTAAGTAGCCTAACACACAGTTCAGTCCTGCATCTTCTCCGTGTAAGTTCAGACTTCGCAAGTTTGATCATGGCTGCAGTCTCTTCTTGTCAGTTTGATATGGAAAACAGACTATACCGAGGACACGGGTAAATCTTCAAAGGGAACAGTGTACTTTATAACTTCATTCACATCACCCTGGCTACGTTGTTTTACTTTCTCAACAATAAAATGTAAACATGATATAAGGAACTGCCTATTTTCATTTTAATATTAACAACTAAACAGACAGCAGAAATGTTGAGGCGCCGTGCTGCAAATATGAGCGTCATCTTCACTGTGTGCATATTTATAACAAAACGGAGCCTACAACAACTGCCTCCTTTCAATTTCAGTGAAAATACGAAACACACCCTCTCTTTGCTGAATATCAGTTTTAATAATCAATAATGGCCATTATAAAAGTATAACATACAATAAGTTTATACATTATAGGAAATAAAGGCAAGCGATCAGTCAATATACAGAATGTACGTGCTTACATTAATCATTAACTTATCTTTGCGCTTAGCCAAAACACGTTACCTGAGAACAAGTAATAGATTTCAATGACCAAAGAATATGTCGTTAAATAAAGACAACAAGATGAAAGAAATATTCCGTTTAATAAATATAGTGAGATTAGATCCAGCAGGAGATGCTTGATGAGAAGTCCGACTAGCACAGCTCTCATCTGGGTAGATTGGCTACAGCGCTTGCCTGAGAGTGTGTGTGTGGTCACGTGATGTGCGTTTTCAGCGTTTTGGTGTGGACGGAGAGCAGTTCAGAAACGCTGGGTGAAACGCGAGTGTGGACGCGGATCGTTTTCATTCTAAAACGCCGTTTTAAAACTAAAACGCACTAGTGTAAACGGGGCCTAGGTATACTTAAAACACCTAGGCAGGTGTGTTGAGGCAAGTAGGAGCAAAACCCTGTAGGGACACCGGCCCTCCAGGACCGAGATTGGTGACCCCTGGGCTATAGCAAATGACACACAGCACCATGGCGGATGCGCACGCTCTCTTCTTCACACACATATACACACACACACACACAAACACGGTGCACACTCTTTCCTCTTTTGCTCGCTCATTCGCTCGCTGTCTCTCTCAGGAATGCTATATTGTTAGCCCGCCCGCTCCTATGCAAGTTACCGATCGCCATCGCGTTTTATTCAGAAATGTATTTCTTGGCACAAGAAATCAGGTCGGGTGCAGAACCAATTAAAGCATTTCAAATAGCTGTTGTGCCATAAACACATGATATTGATGTTGTTCAGATGGTGGATTCATTTCTGTAAAATAAAGAGCTGCTGTGTTCATGGAGACCTGAAAAAAGTCCTGATCTCAGTTTATTTACCTGTGACATCAAGACGAGCTCCAGGAATCACAGTCCATCTTTTATTCTCTTTATCTGTGAATCTGCAGTAGTAGATGTGTTTATCAGCTTCTGTTACTGCAGTCAAAGTGATGATTAAAGTGTCTTTATCTCTGACACACTGAATTCCTCCTCTTTTGTCTGGATCTGTACACAGGTCTGGAGGTTCTTCACCAGTTACAGCAGGTTTGGTTGAGACAGATTTCATAAGATGATAATCAGCATGTGTTGAAGTACAGGATATTTTCACTGTTGATCCCTTTAATGCACAAACATATGAAGGACTGTAACTCACTCCCCAATCCACCAGACCATAAACCGCTGAAACACAGACATGAGGAAAACTATAAAACAGGCTTTTAGCAAAAATAAATTCACAAAAATCTTTAGTTTTGCTCTCAACTATTGAAAACACACAAAAGATATTCGAGGAAAGCTTTACATGTTCACTCATATTAATTTAAGAAACTCCACATGTGAGATATTTCACTCATCTTCTTGTTTATACTCACATCCTACTTTGACATAAACAGCAGGAGAGATCAGATGTTCATTTCCTCCTACAGCACACTGATAATATCCAGCATCATAATAGCTGACTGACTGCAGATGAAGCTGATTCTCTGTTCTGATTCCTTTATTTAATCTCTCTGTGTTTCTGTACCAGATGAATGTAGTTTCTTCAGGCAGAGAGCAGCTGCTTTTACAGCTCAGAGTCACTGAGTCTCCCTCTTTAACAATCTGTTGTGTCTCCACCTGCAGGTCTGACACAGAAATAACAACAGTTCATTGGTTTATCACATAGACTGTAAAATATATGGACGTAGTATCCGTGACGTCACCCTTGAACCGTTTTCAGATGACTGATCTAGAGCCTACAGCTAATCAATCTGCCAGATTCTGAAGTGCATTACAGCTCTAAATATAAATTTAAATGATAAATGATCTTAAATAAAACAAATACATGTATAGAGATGGTATATAAGTATATAACTTTACTCACATGGGAAACGGAGGCCACGTGAATGGTTTGTGAGCACAATTAAGTGCACTCAGCATGCCATCTAATAATTGTAGGAAACAAGTCCAAAAGGCAGTTGACTGTGTAAAGCCCCATAAAACAATACAGAAATACGATAAATATGCCGAGTTCAGTGGCTAATCTGCAGGATTCAGCTAAAGTGACGTGACGGCGACCAGCAAGACCTAGCTGTCACTCAAGTGGCCACGCCCTTAATTATGCAAACTTAATATAACTTAATATGAAGGAAACGGATGAGTTATAAAAAAATTCACCCCCTCACAGTTGTCATGAAGGGTAATATTAGCTGTATTAACCAAAATCTTTCTTTGTAGCAGGCTGTAAACACCTTTTTTTCTGCTGTAAAGTTGGCCATTCTAACAGTGGCCTCAATTGAAATTTGCTCTGTTTTGGAGCCAGGAGCGGCCAGGACTGGAATTTCGGATGAATTGCAGTTTTAGTTACTTCCGTATTGGCTTCCTGAGGGAGAGCGGGAGGTTGCCGCTTGGTTTATCATCACCTGAATGTGAAAATTCAAACAATAACCAAAAGTCTATCATCATTTAATAATTTAGTGTAACCTGCAAAATCTTCTTTCCTCTCCAGAATACTGGTTATCATTTAGTAGCTGTTCTGTTTTGTACTACAGAGCTGTCATAATATAATGTCATGTAACATGAATATACAGTACATACAGCTCAAACATAAAAGCAGTTATGGTTAGAAGTACATTTTTATTTGAAATATAGATTTTATGGTAACATATTACAATAACAGTACATGAATACTAGCATGCTAATATGTAATTTAAATGTTACTTCATTTTGAACTGACGATGAGTTAAGGTATGCACTAATCAAGAACTTTAACTACGACATGAGTTCATGTGTGAATAATGGCTTACATCGTAATAAATCTTACATCTTAATGAACTCTTTTCACAAGACTTTGACAGATTTAACAGTCATTAGCATCTTAAATCCTTGAAAGTTTTTAATATATATATATATATATATATTTTTTTTTTTTCATGTATGTACATTGATGAAAAAATGTATGCAGCGTCCACACTGTACGCACTAGATGGATGTGCATAACTGTTATGTTTAAACACATGAGTTTAATGTAGTTAAGAATGAGTTAATAATAATGGGCCCCCTTCAAGTAAAGTCATGACATAAAGCTTCATGTTCATGTTAGTTATATTTAACTAAAACTAAAATGTTTACTAATACAAGCATGAACTAACAGGTTATTAAGGTAGCCATTATTCACACACAGGACTCATGTTTTAGTTAAAGTTTGTTCTTGATTATTGCATGCCTCAACTTATCATTAGTTCATAATAATGTAAAGTTTAATTTACATAATAGTACATCTGTAAGAGTCTACATTATCATATGCATTTGTTTATATGGTCTTTTTAACCAAAGAAGGCTCATACCAATTCCAAAGGCAGATACTGATTAGATCAGGGCCCGGTGTGTGGACTTTGGGGGTTTTATGATGTGGTCACATGTTGATTGGTCAGTTTGAATGTCTCAGTATTTGGGCTTTGGTCACATGGTCAAGAAAGAAACAAAATAGCTGGTAAATGTTGGCTCTGCCTTTTTTCCTGGTCTGCGCTCTCCTGCTCTGCTCCTCTCCTCCTCTCGAGTCTATTTTCTCTGCCTCTTTGAGGCCAACTTACTCTTTTTGTCTCTCCCTCCCTTAGTCTCTTCTTCTACCTCTGGTGACTTTATTTTTAATTTAAGCTGGGTACAATTAATATAATATGTTTTTATCATTTCATAAATGTTACAGATTTTCTTGAATGTACACCCTACAATGGCTGAGGTAAGACCTAGTGCAAGACCCTAGTGCATATACAGTTGGAGTCAGAATTATTAGTGCCCCTGTTTATTTTTTCCCGATTTCTGTTTGATGGAGAGCAGATTTTTTCAACACATTTCTAAACATAATAGTTTTAATAACTCATTTCTAATAACTGATTTATTTTATCTTTGCCATGATGACAGTAAATATTATTTGACTAGATATTTTTCAAGACACTTCTATACATTGATTGTTTTATTCTGTAGGCTATTGAGAAATATATAGCTTAAAGAGGCTAATAATTTTGTCGTTAAAATGGTTTTATAGAATTGCTTTTATTCTGACCAAAATTAAACAAATAAGACTTTCTCCAGAAGAAAAAACATTATCAGACATACTGTGAAAATGTCCTTGCTCTGTTAAACATCATTTGGGAAAAATTTAAAACAGAAAAGGCAACACAGTGGTGCAGTGAGTAGCACGTTCGCCTTACAGCAAGAAGGTTGCTGGTTTAATTCTCGGCTCAGTTTGCATTTCTGTGTGGAGTTTGCATGTTCTCCCTGCCTTCGCATGGGTTTCCTCCGGGTGCTTTGGTTTCCCCCACAGTCCAAAGACATGCGGTACAGGTGAATTGGGTAGGCTAAATTGTCCGTAGTGTATGAGTGTGTGTGTGTGTGTGGATGTTTTCCAGAGATGGGTTGCGGCTGAAAGGGCATCCACTGCACAAAAACTTGCTGGATAAGTTGGCGGTTCATTCCGCTGTGGCGACCTCGGATTAATAAAGGGACTAAGCCGACAAGAAAATGAATAAATGAATGAATAAATGAATGAATGATTAAAACAGAATTAAAAGCAGCCCCTTTGATTTTTTCTTTTTTTTCTGACTTCAACTGTATATTCTTAAAAAACAGAAAGAGGCTTCAGATTTTCTTGAACTGTTCTGTTTTTTTTTTTTTTTTTTTTTTTTTTTTTTTTTTGTGAACCAAATCTTTTCCATTCTAAAAGCATGTGAAAAATCAAAAACCCATTGCAGATTAAAAGAGGGAACTGCTGACTTCAAATTCATAAGAATAATTTGTCTAGCCAGTAAAGTTACAAAGTCTACACTATCAGCCTGTAATGAATTGAATTCAACATATTTTGGCAGAATTCAGTGACCGTGCTGTTAAAGGGTTTGAGTCTATTGAAAATCAGTCCATTTCAAACAAGATCAGAAACTATGTAACTGTGTGGCTGGTTTAGTTATACATGGAAGGCAAGTTGGGTTAAGATTAGGGAACATTTTATTCAGTTTAGTTCTAGACCAGAGTATTCTGGCCACAACCTTGAACTGAATGAGAGTATGCCTTGCGTTTATTGATGATGATGAATGTATTCATGCAGGAATAAGATCTTAGATATTTTTTTCAATCGTTAAATTCAGTTCCTCTTCACAAAGAGCCCTCAATAGATGTGTTGAGGCAGATTGTTTTGTGGTAATTATAGTAAAGATTTTGAAATATCCCCTTTCAAATAGGTATGAAGGTCAAATATATCATCAAGTATACTTTTATTTGGCACAATGGGGAAATCAGGACCTACTCGCACTACTCAGGCCATCTGATTCGAGCCCAGGCACAGTTTACTTTGCCGTGCCTGGCCTGATTGGAAGAGGTGTGCCAGGTTGGGCTTTTGGCACAGTAAGCTTGTAGTGTGAGTGTGATGTAAGTGTGCTCCGGCTCAGTAGTTATAAAATGCAGTGTGAGTGCTGTCTAAGGAGAGAGAGAAGGGGAGACAAGCGTGCTTCAGCACGGTTCAACACAACCGTGTCTAAAGAAAGTATGCTCTTAACTGCTTATGAATAAAGCTCCGTAACTGAAAGTATCTAAATTTAAAATTTAGAAAAAGAATTGAGTAGGTAAAATCTTTTCTGAATCTTTCACAATCATCTAACCCCCAACTATCTTACTTGAAGATCATGTTTCCTGGATGTTTTTTGACTTTTCTAAATGGTGCCCATGTGTTTTCATGAACTACTGCTCTCATAAAACAAACCCTCCAGAACACTTGGCATATTTATCAAAATTCACATCATTTTAGTTTATTTTCAATGTTTTGTTAAGCACAAAAGTCACCATTCCATTATTATGAGCAAGAGCAATCAGGACATTTTATTTTTGTTCCAATTGTTATAATTTCTGCTTTTGTTCAGAAACAAAGTCACACATTCATTTTCCATCAGCTTAGTCTCAGATTTATCAGGGGGCCCCACAGCAGACTGAATATGCATTACACAGCAGAAGACCTTCCAGCCGCAAATCAGCACCGGGAAACACCCATACACACATTCTCGCACACACAAACTCATACACTACGGTCAATTTATATTATTCAGTTCACCCATAGTTTATGTGTTTGGACTGTGGGGTAAAACAGAGCACACAGAGGAAACCCACGGCAACACGGGGAGAACATGCAAACTCCACACAGAAATGCCAACTGACCCAGCCTGGATTCAAACCAGCCACCTTCTTGCTGTGAGGTTAGAGTGCTAATGATCTGCTGCCCCAAAGTCATACAGCAGATACAAAAAGATTATAAAATGACTGATGTGTGTGTGTTTCTGTGTTTGTGAAAGTTCTTCTTCTACCTGTGACGTCCAGCTGAACTCCAGGAACACCAGTCCAGTTTCCACCCTCAACATCAGTAGTGATTCTGCAGTAGTAGATGTGTTCATCAGCTTCTGTTACTGCAGTCAAAGTGATGCTGGAAGTGTCTCTATATTTTCTGTTTTTTTCTGTACTGACACACTGAACTCTTCCTGTTTTTTCAGGGTCTGAACACAGGTCTGGTTGTTCCCCACCAGTATGTCTGGTCCAGAAGACTCTTCTGAGCTGATGATTATGAGGATATATTGCAGTACAGGATATTTTCACTGTTGATCCCTTTATTGCACAAACAGATGAAGAGCTGTAACTCACTCCCCAACCCTGCTGACCATTACACTCTGAAACACAGACATCAGAAATGGAGGATTTTCAAGCAATGCACAAAACCAACCTTTTCTCTCTTATTTTATATTGTCTCTGTCAGTAAAACACTGCTGTGGCTTTCTGATACACAAAGTGTGAAGAGCTCAGTCGTCTTTTCAAGAGTGTTAAAGTTTGTCTATAGTGACTGTAGTGAAAACTCACCCGCAGTCATGATCACTAAGATCAGAGAAAGAGATGCTCTGAAAGACCTCAACATAGTGACTTCTGCAATCCTACAAATGACAAATATGACAGTATGAGCATCATCTCTACACAACAGCACAAACTCTATTGTGTGAACAGTCTGTAGATGGAGAACAAGATCATTTCTGAATAATCCACTGCTCACTGAAGGCTTGATGTGCTGAAGATGTTTCTCCTGTCAGGCCTCGTGTGTCTGAAGAGCTTCATTACAGGTAACATGAGTTATGAAATCAATTACTTTTGTCAAGTAACTTTTCAAATATATGTAGTAGAGATCTACTATTTTTTAAGGGCATGAAACCACCTCGTTTCAGCAGGGTGTTTTCACACCTCTACTTTGGAAAAAAAAGTCAGAAAAGTGGGCGTGTCCAGCTCTTTTTAGGGGGGAGTGTCAGAGGAACTAAAGTGGGATGGTGTGGGAGTGTCTATTTGGGCATGCGCGAGGGGAGAAAGGGACTGTGTTTACATGGACATCTGTAGTCGAATTATTTACCAAATTATTAAATGGTGGACTTTAACTGCAGTTTGGCTCTTTCATTCAGGGAATTCATTCCTGTACCTCATGACAAATGAGATATTTGATTCGAGGAGCTGCTCTAAGCGTGTATTTTTCATGCAATGTTTGATACCGCACGGCGAATGAGAGAAAAATACCTCAGCATTTCCCGGAAACTTAGATGCACACGGCAGGTAGCGTCAGAAAGCCGCGTGTGTTATTCCAGTTAAAAAATGCGGTGAAAATCCTACACGAGGTTAAAGTTTGGTTGTGGTGCTAACATGTGTACACTCGGTGCAATAGTTTGTTCGATACAAACAAACTGAATAAACAAAGAGCACTGGTCGCTCACTTATCAAATCTGTAGAGACAGGACAATCACCAGCAACTAGAGCCGCGTCTTTATTAAGAGACGACTACAAGCGAATCCGATCTCAGCGTTTGCAGATGAGAACAGCTCTCAGGTAAACAATGTTCCTCCTTAGACACGTAAGTTATTGTTGTCGAGCGTCGCGTACACTGTTAATCCACACGTGAGTCTGAGCACTCACAGAGAGAAAATGAAAACAAAACTTAACTGCAGCAAACTATAAAAGCAACACTTCACGCTTGTTTTGCCAACACAATGTGACGTCTCTGTCGTCTAAACACTGTGACAGTAATGAATATTAATGAAGTTGCACAATAGAGCGCGCTGATTGGTTTGAACCAAGCTTTACTCATGCATTAATGTATCACACTATAAGACGTAATAAGACACACTCTGGCACAGACGTCCAGTCTGCACGCTGGAATACACGCTATTATGTCATGACCGTGATGCAGCTTCAAAAATTAATTTCAAACCGGAAGTACGAATTTGCTTAAAATAACACAAAAACAACCAATTTACACTTTTTTGTGAAATATAGGTGTCCTAATAGTGTTTTTAGCAGTGTGGGACACATATTCGACTGTCAACAGCTCAAAACATGTGTTTTGGTGTTTCGGGACCCTTTAATGCCGCCTGACCATTCAGAACATGCATAAAGCTGCTATAATCAGTCTGAGACGATACAATAATAAATAAGTTCGGTTTGACCTCTGCTTGTGTTCAGATATAAAACTGGTTTTCCTGTAGGCAAAGAAGAGGAAGCAGCCATAGTGAGAGACAGGGCCAGAGTGGGACTCCTTTTCAGCCCTGGAGTTTCAAGCCTTAGACCGGCCCACCTCAGTTCACAACTGGCTATATTAAAATAATGCCATTTCCAATTCATTTTCTAATGACACTATCACGTCTTTTTCACGGAAACAGCTGCTTTAGAACTTTAAATGTTTTTCATAAATACGAGAACATTAAAGGGTAGCTAAATCTCCAACACTATTCTGTAAAACATCACAATGTCCTTTCCTGCAATATCTGAATATATATTCTGTGCAAAATCCTTTATAGAAATCCAGTTCTTTGTAACGATGGTCACACAAAAAATAAAAAGAAAATATGTACACCTACACAAGTAACCCAAACAGTATTATATGCTATAATATTATATGCTATAAGCTGCTATGCTGGTGATTTTAGAATAAAAAATAATTATTGCACTGATATCTGCAAGACTTTTGACCACAGTATTACTTTCTATTGATGGCTTAATCTTAATCTTTATGTCAGATTTATTAATATAGTAAATCATTTTTTGAATCATTGATTTTTATTGAGCAGGTGTAATATTCATTAATATTAATTATTTGAATTCTTATATTCACTAAGGTTCTGACAATAAGTTGTCGAATGATAGTTACCTCATCATTAACCTGCGGGCTGCATTTTGCTCACGGGGCTGTGAGTAAATAAATAAAAAGAGCAGAGCTGCGGCAGAATAATGATAAAAAGAGTGAGGCTATGGTCAAATAAATAAATTAATGAAAAAACTGTGACTGCTGAAAGTGCAAGCAGCTAGGGACACCGGCCCTCGTGACCAAAAAAAGAACCGGCCCACCGGGAATTCTCCTGGTCCTCCCGATTAGCCAATCCGAGCCTGGTGAGAGCAAGCAAAGCCAATGGACCCTTTTCAGATTTCCAGGATTCTCAGCAGTGGAAGTCGTCAACTTAGAGCTCAATAAATGGGAGAGTACAACAAATATTTTTTTACAATCCTATTTGCTGAAATAATAGTTTTCAAGACTCTCAGAAAAAGGAAATATAACTTGTGTAAAACTGATAATGACAGCCAGAAGAGAAAACAACATTAAATTTGCTGTACCGCCAAAGATGGTATAATACATACATATATACATAAAAGGCAGCACGGTGGCTCAATGGTTAGCACTGTCACCGCACAGCAAGAAGGTCGCTGGTTCAAGTCCCGGCTGAGACAGTTGGCATTTCTGTGCTCCGGTTTCCCCCACAGTCCAAACACATGCTCTATAGGGGATGAACTTAATTGGCTGTTGTGTATGAGTGTGTGTGTGTGTGTGTATGTGTGTGTGTTTGAATGAGTGTGTATGGGTGTTTCCCAGTTCTGGGTTGTGGCTGGAAGGGCATCTGCTTTTTAAAACATATGCTGGATAAGTTGGTGCTTCATAATAAATAAAGGAATGAAATACATAAAAATGCTCATATTTAAAAAAAAAATCTAAATATTAAAAATTTTCAAGAATTTGATAACTGTGAAATGCATTCGTTTGAAAAGTGTCGATAGTTGACAAATCAAAAATGTTTAGTCAAAAGGTGTAATGGCTAATGCTAATGCCAGTACGTGAAGAAGGAGACAAGAGGTCCTTCTGTTTTTAAGGGAACCTATGATGAAAATCTTTTGTAAGCTGTTTGGACAGAACTGTGAGTAGGTATAGTGTGTCCACAGTCATATCGGAGTGATATGAAGTCAATAAGTCTTTTTTAAATTTCCTGATGTTAAAATAGGACCCAAATCCCAGTGATTTTGAGGCCCACCACAACATGACGTAGGAGTTTTCAATGGGCAGAGTTTTCTCTGCACATTGAATTGATTGACAGACGCTATGTTTTTAGAATAGCATCTATACACTCAGCCATAGAATTTTTTATTTTTATTTTTGCAAATAAACTGGGTTTAAAATATCTGTTCAACTCTCTGTCATTGTTTTATAAGCTGTATACGTTTAAAACATTTTTAAAACGAGCACGTTTGTATTACAGTAAAATTGCGGCGTAACACTTAACTGCTATAATTACCACAGCCACACGGTGTCAGTACACGCTAATATGTGCATGTGTGTGTACTGCAAAAGACATTGGTTTGAGACTCATCATTTCAGAAAGGCTTGAATAAACTCCACAACAAATACATGAAATAAACTTACTTACACACGCAACACGAATTCCATCATGCAACTGAAGGACGCAGAGCTTGAAGGTAAACAAACAGCGGTTTATAGGCATCCATAAGCATCTTATGGATAATTATTTACACGGTTGGCATTAAGAAGAAACATATAATCGTTATCTGACTAACATCCAGCAGCTAAATGTGTCTGGAAAAATATTCAAAGGCTTTTATTTTCATAAACCGCGCGGATGTGAATGCGTCTAACTATTCTAATTGGCTAAAGCAGATGTCTCACATCAGCACGTTCTAGACGTGCACGCGCTCTTTCCGGCAATCTTCCTAATGTGTTCACACAGCGCAGCATTCTGGCAAATTACCGGTAATGTTAAAACTTCTCTTTCTGGAAAATAGCCAGAACAAATTTACCGGTATTTTCAAAAAAGACCTGTTCACACATACAAAGGGAAGAAGGTCTGTATGTGTGAAAGGGGGTATTGCCATATGTCATTTATTAATGCAGTTTTAATTTTGTAATTTTTGTAATTTCGCAGCTTGCAAAATTGTAAACATGTTTCCAGTATTCTTAATAAATTAAAATAGAGGCTTGAAAAACAGATGCTGGAGTAACACTTGTTTTTTTAAGCTAATCGATTTGCAAAGTTTTATTAAGTAAACTGGATTGCTTTTTGAAATAAAATAAACTCTGTAAATCCAAGATAAATTGAGAAAACATCTTAGCACAGCTTGCATGAAAGAGCAGTTAGGAATACTTGCAAAGTGTGTTTCACCACTGTAATGCCAAGTTCAGACTGCGTGATTTTAGCCCCACTTTTGGCTCGCCGACAAGTTTTGAGAAATAGCCGACAAATGCCTGAAATCACTAGCAAATCGGTGCTCAGTGAATAAACTATTAAAGACGTGATCTGAGAGAATTGCCGATGAGTCGCAGACACTCGTGAGATATTTGGTATGCTAAATATCTGAAGCTGTCGGCGATTTACATCATGCCATGTGAAATGTGTTCTGACTAAAAATAACATCAGCGATCACGTACAGCAAAGCGGGACGCTGGGGGAGAAGTTAAGGCCTTCTTTCCACACTATTTGATCCCAAGAAATTTTTATTTCAAAGTTATCTGCAATTTTTCCTGTTGTAAAGTCATGCAGTGTAAAACCTGTCGCCAATCCATCATGCAGTGTAAACACAGCAGCAATGAAATGTTCCAGCAGATAGTCATACAGTGTGAAAACATCTTTGACATGACTACTTCTGAAAGTGGCATTAGTGCTATTTTGTGCCATTTTTGTTAGAGTAAAGCACCAGCAGAGTCTGAACATCCCTGCACATTAAACACACGTCTATAACCGTTATTGAGCTTCTGTTAACTCAACATTCAGCAGATGCATTCATACAGATATCAGTCGTAGATCAACAGAATTATTTGAATGTTAAAATGTTCTTACCGTGCTGCAGTGTCTCAGTGTCGATGCTCAAATGAGGAAAACATCAGCTTAAGCTATTACTGTAAACGGCCAGTTTTCACACTTTATAAATGTGCTGTAAAAATAAACAGTATTTGTCTTCCTCTTCTTGGATGTGTTTGACACCATCTCGAATGCACCAGATCATCTCCTGCAGTCGCTCTCATTGACAGAGTCAAACAGCTGAATTCATTATTGTTCAGTGTTTGAGAGAGAAAATGTAAAATCACAATTAGTTTGGAAACAGAACTGAGTTAAACACGTTAAATGAGTGTCTGAGCATCACCAGACGAAGCTTTGCAGCTCTTAGTGTCACTTCCTGTTTTTGACTCGAGTGTTAGCGATACTCCATTCACAGCCATCAGCGGTCAGTGTGTGTAAGTGAGTCAGAGGTAGTTTCACAAAGACGACACACGCAACTTTGCAGCAAGAAATGTTTTTCAGTGTTTAGATTAAATAAATATAAAGATTAAATAATTTAAAAATTGAAAAATGACACAAGTCCAAACACATGCGGTCAGGTGAATTGGGTAGGCTAAATTGTCCGTAGTGTATGAGTGTGTGTGAATGTTTCCTAAGGATGGGTTGTGGCTGGAAGGGCATCCGCTGCTTAAAATGTACTGGATGAGATGACGGTTCATTCCACTGTGGCGACACCGGATTAATAAAGGGACTAAGCCATTAAGAAAATTAATGAATAAATAATATAAGCCTGCAAGTATATAAAGTTAAGTAATGACTCTGTAACGAAGTGGCTGACACAGAGGGATCCATTTGCAGTGTTTTTATTAAACACAGTTAAATAAACAATAGCACACAGATGTTGTGCGTGCGCAAACTCACATCAAACATAGTAATATGTAGTCGTTTGGCTGGCGGCAGGTAAACACAGGATGAGTATGCAGGCATGGGTCAGAGGCAGGCGGCTAGTATCAGAGTCTATAATCAGGCTAGAGTTCAAAGGCAGGCGGCGAGGATCAAAGTCAGGATTCAGGCTGAAGTATAAGGCAGGCGGCAGGCAAGACTTAGTCAACAAACAAAGCAGGATCACAACAGTAAGGCAGACAAGGATGAGACCGCTCAGTAGTGTTAGCTGGGGCAAAACAAGACTTCGCAATCAAGCAGCGCGTGTGTGTGTGCGTTTGTGTGCTGCTTATATGTGTGTGGAGTGTGATTGCTGGATGTGCTTCAGGTGTGTCTGCAATCAGTGTAGATGGGTGACGTAATGTCAATAGTCCGGTGATGATGACCTCTGCTGGCCAGCGAGGGGAATGACTGGGACCGAGTCGGTGACAGACATAATATAAACTTTAAAGTTCAAACAGGCTGCAAAAATCAGCGAAACAAGAAAACATTTGCTGCACTTTCTAAATTAGTGCTTTAATAAATACTTTAAAGAGGGGTTCACCTTTAAAACGTTTTTTAGAACTTGGCTATAAATCCCTAATGATATAATATCTTTAATATCCATGCTTCAAATATCCAAAATAGCTTAATGTGGTCTTCTGAGTTACAGAAGGCTAGCGTCCTTATTTTATTTTATTTATTTATTAAATATTGTTACTTATTAAATATTAATACTCCATATTATTACTGTCGTTTTCATAAAAGGGCCAAACTAAACATTCATTAAAAAAGTTTGCTTTCTAACTGGTTCAGTTAGACTTCTGTAAAGCAGAACCGAGTGTATTGTTTACTTGAGATAGATACTCTGCAATGATGGACATTTTGGTAACTGCCTGTGTAGGCTATATGATTTGTTCACACCAGGTTCACATACTGTCTCGGTTAGATTGCATTATGAAAGGATTGAATCCGGCTGTAACCAGCGCAGGGCCGAAACATCGCTTCAGTTATGAGACAATTCCAGCCTGATCTCACGAGGAAACGTAAGAATATTACGTTTTGTCAGTTTAGTGGCCAATTCATACACATTCGAGTTCAGTCATATGAAAATTTAAGATTTTAAAAAGGAGGCGTGGTACCCAACCCCACCTCTAACCCCAACTGTCATTGGGTGATGAGCAAATCGTACTAAATTGTAAGAATTAGATTGTACGAATTCATACGTATTAGCCACTAAATCAAAAACGAATTGCCGTGAGATTGCGTTGGTCCATTCAGTATGATCCCGCCTATCCCAGCTTTTGTTACTACATATACAAGTGTATCAATGATGAAGACTGTTTGAATTTAATATTTTGTTTTACGACGAGCTTGGTTAGCCTCCCGTTGACTGGACGGTTCTCGCGTTAGTGCCGAAATAAGGAACTGTCCTGGGAAAATTGGGACATCTGATTACTCTTATGGGTGACTAAAACAGAACTATTCAATATTCTGATTGGGCTACAGCCACTCCGAGTCCCAGTTTAGCACTGGTTTTTGAACAGCAGCGAAAGCATAACACAAAGAGGCGTTTCCCCTGTCACAGTGCAAAATTAATTCTTCAGCCAATCAAGGACCCCCTTCTTCCATGGGCCCTGTGGCTTCAGGCTAGAAAAAGGACAAGAAGGAATTAAAATCTAAAGCAGATGATTTTAAAAAATCGCTCAAAGTGCAGTAATCTTCATATAGTGGACATTGCAGAGAATGTAAAACAGTTAGCAGCTGATACGCCATCTAAAGACACGCATGCACAACAACCAACAGCCATCATATGCTCATGTAGGCCCTATATAGATTTCTGAAGATCACAAATTATTTAGCCAGGGCTGATATGGCACCGCCCCATTTCGTGCTACCGCTGACCACTTACCTCCATATGGAAGGCTTTCCCACTGTTACCAGTCTGACCAGGAGCTTGTCATGTACGTCGGCGGACTTGAGATGCAGAGAAGAGTTGACTATGATGATGGGAGTTCGAGTTTTGAAAAGAACGTTTCCAGAAAACAGGTAGAACAAAAACAAAAACAAAACCCAAAAAATAAAATAAACAAGTAAATAACAGGGTGAGAATGTGGTAAAATCTGAAACGTGGTAAAAATCAGTCGAGGGGTTTACTCTTTCTGTTTTGCTTTTGAGAACACTGTCAGCTGGGTTTAGGGAAATGGGTGGAGTTTAAAATCCCCTCTCACCTTGCAAATGGGAGGAAGCCCCGGGCAAACAAGCTTTATAATCAATCATCAGCTAAATGGGATCTCTTGAAACATAATTTAAGCTCATGCTTTTAGGAATAGACAAGTCTCCATAATCTAATATATAGTAGTTTAAATGTGCAATAAAACTGGGACAAATGTATGTAATTTCAGCTCATTTGAGAACATGAGCGTTGTCTTGAACTTGTTTTGAAAACAGCTCAAGTTTTTCGTTCTGGTGGGCGGAGCTATGAGTCACAGACTAATCTGATTGGTGTTTGTACATCTGCAGTCTTTAAACCCGCTTGATTGTTTTCTTACTGCATTTTACAATAAAATTAATGAATTTAAATGTATTTATTAAATATTATTAATAATAATGAACTATCATAGTAATTTGAGTTTTTCCATTTGTCATTAATATTTTACCATTTTTAATAATTTAATTTTCCATTTGCCATTAAAATTAAAAAGTAATTCACCACCTCTTTAATGTTGTCCTTTAATCATAATTTTATTTCAATCATATTTAATAAAGAGATGTAAGTCTGGCTTCTACATGGTGGAGTACTGAAGGTCAATCTGAAAACACATACAGTCATCATAATTATTAATAAATCAATGTTTATTGTGTGATATATGACACTACAACACAACAGACATTAGTAGGTTACTCCAGCAAACACAGTTCAGTCAAATCCAGTCACTTTAATATAATTATTTACAGATTAATTTGAGTTTGAGATGAAAACACTGCTCATCTGTACAAATCATCAGTTCAGTCTGTTCATCCTCCAGTGAAGAAGACAATAATTAACAATAATGAGGGAGAAATATGAAGGTTATATGAATATAATATATGAATGCATTTCTTTATATCTGAAATGATGATTTCCTCCTGAAATGCATTTCCAGAACAAACACACTCTGTACAATAAACACACACATCAGCAAATAAGCCTGAAATCAGATGTTGACTTCCTCTAATGATGAGCAAAATCTGTGAATCAGCAGAACTCAAGCAGTCTCTGATCATCATCAACAGCATCGAGCCAATGTTGTTTATTTGACTGAGCTGTAAATCACATCCTCACATCTGCAGACAAATGAGAAACTTTAAGCACTGAACATGTTTTATAAGGGTCTCAGTGTTTAATTGGGGTTGAGATGAATGTTTTGTCACCTGTTGGCATCAGACGGACGCTGCATCTCCATCTTCTGATGTTCTTCAGTCTTCATGTCTTTGTTCTTGAAGTGATGAACACTGGTGTATTGAAGATCCTCCACATCTCCTGCTTCTGCTCTGCTGGAGCGTTTGGGTTTCACTGCTGTAACTTTAGCATAAAGATCCTCGCTCTGATTGGCTGATACTAGTGAATACAGTGCACTATCATTGGCTGAAGCCATTTCTGCTGATCTGCCAATGGGATTCTGCTGTGATTTAATCAAATATCACAGATATATAATCAGTCCTGCTTTTAATATCGTCTTCTTGACTGATACGTGTCAAGCAGCAGTGCAAGATTTTATAACTCTTATATTTTCAAAAAAACATAATATTTCCATCATGATTTAGGTCTGTGTTACTAAACTCGCCTGATTTTGTCTGGTATCTTCAGCTCCACCATCTCTCCTCTTCTTCTTCCTAAAGGAAATTTTTTGTTAGAAAGTATTGTAAAGCAATTTATTAACTATTCATTTTTATTAATGCTTCAGGTTCAGTTAATTCTGTATTCATGTTCATTTTGAAACAGCCTTTAATGCAGGATCTGCTCAAAATGCACTCACCATATGAACACAATAATGATGATGATGATGAAGATCAATCCTCCACATCCCGCCACAACCCCAGTAAGTGTGAGCAGAGCAGATCTCTGAACCCCTGAAACAAGACGCTGATGAAGATCATTTGACAGCAGAGACAGAAGAAACTGAAAGAGTGTCTGTTTCTAGAAAATACCTTCAGTGACTGAAACAGACTCTGATCTCTGAGAGCCATATTTATTCTCAGCCTCACAGTAGTATCGGCCACTGTGACGGGAGTTAAAGCTGGAGATGTTGAAACTCTGTCCAGATCCAACAGCTGAGCTTTGATTGTCTTTAAACCAGGTGAAGTTCACAGCAGGAGGGTTTGAGTCGCTGCTGCAGCTCAGAGTCACTGAATCTCCAGACTCTATTACAGCAGATCCACTGATGGACACTGAGACGTTCTTTGGTTTGTCTGTAAAACAATAATCATGTATTCACAAAAAAATATAAAAATCAGTTTATAAAAACTATATACTACAAGAAACTATCTATACTGGACATTTAATACTACATAAATTCTGCAATTAAATAAAAAAGATGAAAATGTAAACTAGTGAACAGTAAAGAAACCAGCAACACCCCAAGTTGTCAAAACACAGACACAATGAATGATGATAAAATGTACATAATATTACACTATCCTGATTAAATCAAATCTCTAATAAAAACAAACAAAATGTCATGCAGTCTGTATAACACATTAAAGAGTTATTTAACATAGATATAATCACAGTAATACTTATTTGATACTGTTCTACTATTAATCAGTCGGTTTATACTCACATTCAACATTAAGGTAAACAGGTGGAGAGTTCAGATGTTCATATCCTCTTGCAGCACATCTATAGTTTCCAGCATCAGAGCGACTGACTGACTGCAGGTGAAGCTGATTATTCAGTGTTTCTCCAGTTAATCTCTCTGTGTTTCTGTACCAGTATATTATTGTTTCTTTAGGCAGAGAGCAGCTGCTTTTACAGCTCAGAGTCACTGAATCTCCCTCTACAACAGTCTGCTGTGTCTCCACCTGCAGGTCTGACAGAGAAATTACAACAACTTTCTGTCAATGGTGTAAGTAAAAAATGCAGTTGTCACAACATCATGGAGATGATACTAAAATCTAAAGCTGTTCAGGCTGACAATGTAAATGCTAAAACGACAGTGGTTCAGTTATAAAGAACAATTAAATAAAATCAAAAGGCAGAAGTACAGTTTATTTTTGGACAGTGCAATAGTTTTACCTGTGACATCAAGCCAAACTCCAGGAACTACAGTCCATCTTTTATTCCATTTATCTGTACAGCTGCAGTAATATTTGTGTTTATCAGCTTCTGTTACTGCAGTCAAGGTGATGCTGGAAGTGTCTTTATCTTTACTGTCACACTGAACTCTTCCTGTTTTATCAGGGTCTGAACACAGCCTCTGTGTCTCTTCATCAGTTCGAATAGTTTTGGTCCAGAAGGCTGGTGTGAGCTTATAATTACCAGTATATGTTGAAGTACAAGACATTGTCACTGTTGATCCTTTTAATGCACAAACAGATGAAGAGCTGTATTTCACTCCCCAATACTGCAGACTATTAATCGCTGAAACAGAGACGTGACAACACTTTAAAACACACAGCTAAGATTCTAGTTGATGTTCTGTTCAGCAGCATTAATTTGACTATACAATTTTGATTTAGTTTTAGTCCTAGTCTATTGTCCAAAATTTACATTTAGCTTTAGTTTTATTTTAGTCATTTTGATAGAGTATTTAAAAAGAAATAAAACCATAAATGTATCAGAAATTTAATGCCTTTTCACCCATAACTAAATCTATGGGCTCAACTGAGACTGATTATAGACAAGGATATTCTCACACCAGTTTACTGTGTTTATAACAGACACTTTCAGTTTAGAAGTGTATTGTGCATTGTCTGTTTTAAAGTTTACTAATTCTTTATGCATTTTACTAACAAGGAAAATGACAGATGGGTTTAGTTGAATTTGCCTCAATAGTTTTCTTCTCCAAAGCATTCATATTTTAGAAAGTTTAATGAGTTTAATGAGTGTAATGAATGACTGCTTGAATCCCAGAAGGAAAATCAGTATAAACTAAATTACAGGTCATATGTGCGCATCTCCATGTTTCACAGTCTGCTGTGTCTCCACCTGCAGGTCTGACCAAAATCTACAATTCAGTGATTCACTGCTTTAAGCGAATGATCACATAAAGAAATTCTATTATTATTTATGCTTCCTGATTTTGTTCTGAAGCTGCAAGGCCTTTTTCATTTTCAGAAAACTGAAAATTTAGTAGCAGTTCAATTTGTGTTTATTTTAGAGCTGTCAATTAATTCAATTATTTAATCGGGATTAATCGCATGATGCCACAAGTTAAATTGCATTTAATCAAACATCAATTACACATTTTACCTGATCTAAATATACACTATGTCACAAAAGTGAGTACACCCCTCCCATTTCTGCAAATATTTGTTTATAACTTTTCATAGGACAACACTGCAGAAATGACTCTTTGACACAATGAATAGCAGTCAGTGTAAAGTGTGTATAGCAGTGTAAATGTATTGTCCTCTCAAAATAACTACAAATACAGCCAATAATAGCTCAACCCCTGGCAACAAAAGTGAGTACACCCCTAAGTGAAAATGTAAAAAATTAGCACAATTAATCATTTTTCTTCCCCTGTGTCATGTGACTCATTAGTGTTACACTGTCTCAGGTATCCACAGATAGCAGGTGAGTTAAACTTGGTTTAAAAGCTTTTTCACTCTCTCAACCAGGCCACTGAAAGTTCAACATGGCACCTCATGGCAAACAACTCTCAGAAGACCTGAAAAACAAATTGTTGCCTTACATAAACATGGCCTAGGCCAGGGGTCACCAATCTTGGTCCTGGAGGGCCGGTGTCCCTCCAGTGTTTAGCTCCAACTTGCCTCAACATACCTGCCTGGTTGTTTCAAGTATACCTAGTAACACCTTGATTAGCTTGTTCAGCTGTGTTTGATTGGGGTTGGAGCTAATATCTGCAGGACACCTGCCCTCCAGGAACAAGTTTGGTGACCCCTGGCCTAGGCTAAACCAAGATAGCCAACACTCTGAAACTGTGCTGCAGCACAGTGGCCCAGACCATTCAGTGCTTTAAGAGGACAGGTTCTTCTCACAACAGGCCTCACTATGGCCGGTCAAAGAAGCTGAGTGCACATTCTCAGCGTCACATCCAAAGATTGTCTTTGAAAAAACAGACGGATGAGTGCTTCCAGCATTGCTGCAGAGATTGACGATATGGGAGGTCAGCCTGTCAGTGCTCAGACCGTACGCCGCACACTGCATCATATTAGTCTGCATGGTTGTGGTCTTAGAAGGAAACCTCTTCTGAAGACGATCCAAGAAAGCTCACAAACAATTTGCGGCAGACATGCAAACTAAGGACCAGGATGGTGGGAGTGTCATGTTCTGGGGCTGCATGAGTGCTGCCGACATTGGGGAGCTTCATTTCATTGAGGGAAACATGAATTCTAACATGTACTGTGACATACTGAAGCAGTTCCCTCAGGAAACTGGACTGCAGAGCAGTGTTCCAGCATGATAATGACCCCAAACACACCTCCAGGATGACCACTGGCTTGCTAAAGAGGCTGAGGGCAAAGGTGATGGACCGGCCAAGCATGTCTCCAGACATAAATCCCATAAAACACCTCTGGGGCATTCTGAAAAAAAAGGTGGAGGAGCACAAGGTCTCCAATGTCCACCACCTCCATGATGTTGTGATGGAGGAGTGGAAGAGAATTTCAGTGATGACCTGTGAAGCTCTGGACAACTCCATGCCCAAGAGAATTAAAATCATGCTGGAAAATAAGGATGGGCACACAAAATATTGACGTTTCACATTTTCACTTAGGGTGGACTCACTTTTGTTGCCAGGGGTTGAGCTATTATTGGCTGTATTTGTAGTTATTTTGAGAGGACAATACATTTACACTGCTATACACACTTTACACCAGGGGTCTCAAACTCAATTTACCTGGGGGCCGCAGGAGGCAAAGTCTGGGTGAGGCTGGGCCGCATAAGGGATTTCACAAAACAAAGTCCTCAAATGTCATTATTAACAGTTTTAATTATTTCGTCTGAACATGAAGTGTCCTGAACATTAATAGAACATTGAGTGAAGATTATGAACAGTTCTTCTGAACATGGCATCTTTTGCCTACTCCTTACTGCCAGAGACTTGACAGCGCTTCTTCTCACAAATCTGAATCACATTTGGCTTTAGAGCGAAAGCAGTTGAGACCCTCAGTATGGCTTGAAGATGATCATCATTAGGTCTAGACCTGTACTTTGACTTACTGAAGTTCAAGGTGGAGAATAACTTCTCACACAAATATGTGCTCCCAAAAAGGCCAAGTCCTAGGGAAAAAAGTGGGGGAACTCACTCAAAACTTCCATTCCCTCACCTAAAAAAAAGGCGTATATATGTATAAATAAAATACCCACACCCCACTCCAGTCACATCAGTCTGTACCAGTCTGTATCTACCTATAATATATATAAGAAAGGGCTAGAAATTAACTTTTTTACTTGGTAGCACCGGTGCTCCCAACTTCAAATATTTAGGAGCACCAAAATAAATTTAGGAGCACCAGAAAAAATTTAGGAGCACCCGCCAAAACTGAATGAGCACTGCTGCAAATTGCTTTTTAAAGGATTTATTGTATTTTAAAACAACATCAATAGGACTGACAAAAAAACAGAAACAACTATCTAACTAATGCTGCGAAGACATTGATATTTGTGTGCAATAATTCCAAAATGAATGTCTAATAATTAGGCCTTAGAAAATAATGATGATGAAAATGACAATAATAATAACAATGAATTACATTTCTCATTATGAAACTGCCTTGAATATGCATGAATGTAGGTTATCTGCTATAAAAAGTCTGTTACTTTATGAAAAATAATTGTATAGTTTGCATCAAACAAAAATGAAGCATTGCAGTAAGAAATATTTATTTTGTACTGCTGTTTTTATATGCATGTCAATTTAATAAATAATATTTCTGCTACAAAACAAACAAAAGATTATAATAAATCATTCAATTCAATGCTGAAAGCTGCAAAGCAGTCATCAGTATATAAAAATAATAATAATATACACCTCAAAAAAGAATAGACAAAAGAAAGAAAGTAAAGTCTCACTTCTATCACTCTTTAAAAGTTTTGGTTTCAGTTTGTGTCAATTTAAAGGTTCAGTCTTTTGTCTTTTCATGTTTGTGGAAAAGCTGGCGAGTCAGCTGACCCAATTTATGAGCAGGCAGCGCAAGATTCTTGCGTATACCACCGGCGCAATACCGCTCTTTGTTACGAGCCGCAGTTTCAGTGTAAACTTAGTAAAGGCGAGCTGCTTTGGCGATGATATGTACAGTATTAAATTTGACTTTTAGCGGACATTTGCGCTGAACACGCAGTGAATGCGACGCATGGAGATTCGGGCGCCTTCTCCAAGAAGCGCGTACTCGATTGATCTCAGCTGGCGGATCATTATTCACCACGTGACGTGTCATGATCGCTCTCATCTGCACCTCAATTTTAGGTGGGGTTTGCAAACCTGTGTGCTTTAAGTTTTCACTCTTCAGCCGTTTGCATTTCCCGTGGTCATAAAAGCTCCTTTCCTGTCATCTGACAGCGGAATAGCTTGAGTGATTGACAGCTAATATGAACCAATATAGCGGCAGGGAAGAGCGATTAGCACGTTTTTACAAAAAATCAAAACAGGTCGCACTACAACCATTATCAGCAGTCGCACTAATGCGCCCAAATATATTATGAGGTCGCATAGATTAATTTTCGGGCGCATATGCGACCAAAATGGTCGCAATTTCGAGCCCTGTAAGATGCTGGCTGTAGCTAGGTAGCTAAGTGGCAGGCAGGGGCGGGAACAGCTTACCTTGGTTCTGGCCGGCGCGAGTTCCCGTCACAGCGTCTAACAAAGGGGCGGGGTACGTGGTGACGCCACTGGCATCCCCGCCCCTTTGTTTACACGGCGGGCGGGGAATGCCAGTGACCGCTGTGTACGGATAGAATCAGCGGAGCGAGAGCGCTCTCTCTCCCCGCTCCGCTGATTCTGTCAGTGTACAGCGGTCGGCGCGGGCCACAAAATATTGCACTGAGGGCCGCAAATGGCCCGCGGGCCGCGAGTTTGAGACCCCTGCTTTACACTGACTGCTATTCATTGTGTCAAAGAGTCATTTCTGCAGTGTTGTCCTATGAAAAGTTATAAATAAATATTTGCAGAAATGGGAGGGGTGTAGACTTAAGTGAACACAACAAGAAACTGAATCATAACATTTATTTATATGGATGCAATAAAATAAAAATTCTTGGCTGAAGCACAATAAAGCACTTGGCTGAAAACAGAGTACCTAACACGTTTCTTCTGGGGTTTTTTCCACATATATTTTGTAAAATGTTTACCTTTACATAAAATCTCAAATGTTTGAAGCTCAAATCACCACCATGGAGAAGATTCTGTCTGTCTTGATCTTTCCTAAATTGTCATTCTCTAAGCATTTTCAGTTCATCTTTATTGATTGACAAAAATACAATAGATTTAATATATTTTTAGTTTGTACTCACGTCCAACTTTGAGATGAACAGGCGGAGATTTCAAAAGTTCTTCTCCTGCTCTTCCTCTTACAGCACATCTATAGTTTCCAGCATCAGAGCGACTGACTGACTGCAGGTGAAGCTGATTATTCAGTGTTTCTCCAGTTAATCTCTCTGTGTTTCTGTACCAGATGAATGTAGTTTCTTCAGGCAGAGAGCAGCTGCTTTTACATCTCAGAGTCACTGAATCTCCCTCTACAAAAGTCTGCTGTGTCTCCACCTGCAGGTCTGACAGAGAAATGACAACAGTTCATTGGTGTACTTATTAATAATGTACTAAATAATTATTAATTATTACTTATTAATTAATTAATTAATGCATCTTATTAATAATTCTATCATCTTTTAATAATTCTGTTTTTATTCTGAAGCTGCAAGATCTTCTTTCTTTTCCAGAATAATGTTCATTTATTAGCTGTTGTGTTTTGTATTACAGAGCTGTCATAATATAATGTCATAAAACAAGAATATACATACAGACCAAATATAAAAGCATTTTTGCATTCAACAAGATTACAACAGAAACTATAGAGTAAATATTAAGTTAACTATAGAGTTAATATTAAAATAAAAAGTCAAGAACAGTCCACTCATGATACACTGAATGGGAGAAAGTACACTGTGCAGTAATGTATGGAATAAGTTTTGCTCTATAATACTGAAATGTTTTAAAATGTTTTTTCATCACCCCAAAATACATTATTTTAGCATATTATGGTTAGATTAAAGAATATTTTTTTTATTTAATAACATAATTTATTATTATTTAATTTTATTATTTATTTATTTTTTATACATTTTCTGGTAGTAATTTACAATAACAGTATATGAAAACTAATGTACTGATATGTAAATGAAATGTTACTTCGTTAACTAATGATTATTAGGGCAAGCTCTAATCAAGAACTAACTTTACTACAACATGAGTCACATGAGTCACTTGAAAGTTGTTAATATTTAGATTTTTTTAAATGTATGTACATTTGTATGAATTGATGTATGTATTATATCATGCTTGCATCAAAATACAAAATCCTAATTACTGCTTGAGTGAGATGTTTCTAACGCTATGCAGGACAATAAAGTTGAGGTTTTCTCTCTTCTAGCTGCCGTCATCAGTTTCACACATTTTTTTCCTTTTATTGAAAGTCTTGACAGTGTGTATTATAAAAATAAAAATAAATTTGTTAATTAAAACTGTAGTTTTAGGTAAATATAACTAAAATGAATTCATGACCTGTTGATGTATTTTTATGTCATGATTTTACTCGGAGGGGCACATTATCATCAACTCCTTCCTAACTACTCATGAACTCCTGTGTTTAAAGTGCTCATTTTGATGCATAATTTTCATGCAAAACTTTTACATTCAACACAGGCTCATTCTGAAAGCGTAGCCCTTTATATGTTTCTGATGATCGTGAATTATGTAGCCAGAGCTATTTATGGCTGCATTTCATGTTTTAAACACACGCTATGGGGCAGTATGATGCTGTTCCTTTTCTCGCTAACCAGCTGACCCTTTACCTGCATGTGGACAGCTTTCCCACTGTTACCAGTTTGTCCGATAGTTTTAAACATACTTTGACAGACTTGAGATGCAGATCGAAGTTGACCGCGACAATGAGGTTCGAGTCCGGTGAAGAACCGTTTCAGAAAGCAGGTAAGACAAAAACAGAAGCCAAAAAATAAAATAAAGTAAATCTGGTAAAATCTGAAACCGTGGTAAAAATCAGACAAGGGCTTTTATTTGTATGGCTTTTTTTTTAAATTGTCGGTTGGGTTTAAAGAAGGAAGTGGGTGGGCCAATACGGGCTTTCAAAATAACATTGGTTGAGTTTAGGAAAGAGGGTCGGTGGGTGGGCTTATGGGGTATATGCCGAAGCATGCTAATAGGACTTTTAATTTGCCAGTAACCTGGGTTAAGGGCTTCCGGCGAATTGAATGCCAATGCAAAATCCGGTGCGTTTAAGGTCTGTTTTCTTTAAAAATCAGCGATCTCCATTAGCTGAGTGATATTCGATTTAAAGTGGGTCTCAGATTGTACAAGAAGCACTGCATTAAATTACATTTCCCCCCGCCATGTCTTTATAATATGAGCATTTATTTTACCCCAGTATATTCAATGGAGCTTCTGCGTTAGCCTGCGATTCTGAAGAGCGCGTGCGAGTAAACAGCTTTTTGTCTCGTTTTATGCTTGAGCAACTAAATAAATGCTAAAGTTTATTTAACTGAATGTATTTTAATGACATTACAACATCGATGCTGTATAAGGAACCGTATAAAATGGTAAAAAGTTCACAATAACAGGTCACCGGTAGTGTATCAGCATGGGAACTGCACTAGCTCGGCATAAACCCTATTGGTCAGTTGGTCAGTCAGTCACTGAATTAGTCAACAGTGCCATCTGGTGGATTTACGTTAGAACAGCAGGTGCGAACTGCACTTGGGAGAGAAATTTGTGATCTGAAAAAGCAAACAGAGCAGCCTCTGGTGGATTCACGAGAACAATAACTGCAAAAAAAGTACCTCCTGGAACGTATTTTGCGCTCTCCAGAAATGTATATAGTGGTACATAATCCGAATGAGCCAAACTCAGGAGTTCATGATTAAGAATGAGTTAATAACAATATGCTGCTTCAAGTAAAGTCATGGCATAAAGATTCATTAACAGCTCATTAGTTCATGTCGGTTACATTTATCTAAATGTACAGAGTTAATTAATACAAACATGAACTAACAAGTAATTAAGGTAGCCATTATTCACACGTGACTTATTCATTCATTCATTCATTTTCTTGTCGGCTTAGTCCCTTTATTAATCTGGGGTTGCCACAGCGGAATGAAGCGCCAACTTTTATATAATACATATATAATATATAATATATGCATGTTTCCTGGTTGGTTTTTGACTTTTCTAAATGATGCAAATGTTTTTCATGAACTGATGCTTTCATAAAACATTTGGCATATCAATCAAAATTCACATCATTTTAGTCCATCACTATTCAATCATTATGAGCAAAAGTAATCAGGATATTTTTGTTTTTACAATTTTTAATTTTGTTCTCATACAAAAAGATTATAAAATGACTAATGTGTGTTTGTGAGAGTTTACTGCTTCTACCTGTGACGTCCAGCTGAACTCCAGGAATCCCCGTCCATTTTCCATCCTCAGCATCAGTGGTGAATCTGCAGTAGTAGATGTGTTTATCAGCTTCTGTTACTGCAGTCAAAGTGATGCTGGAAGTGTCTTTATATTTATTGTCCTTATATTTACTGGCACACCGAACTCTTTTTGGTTTTTTATGGTCTAAACACAGGTTTAGTGGTTCTTTATCAGTATATTTGGTCCAGAAGATTTTTTCAAGCTTACGATAATAAGGATATTTTACAGTACAGGATATTTCCACTTTTGATCCCTGTAATGCACAAACATATGAAGGGCTGTAATTCACTCCCCAATAGTCCTGACCATCACACCCTGAAACACAGACATGAGAAATGGAGGATTTTCAAGCAACGTACAAAACAAACCTTTTCTTTTTTGCTTATTTTATTGTCTCTGCCAGTAAAACACTGCTGTGGGTTTCTGAGACACAAAGTGTGAAGAGCTCAGTCAGCTTCTCAAGAGTGTTAAAGTTTGTCTATAGTGACTGTAGTGAAAACTCACCCGCAGTCATGATCACTAAGATCAGAGGAAGAGATGCTCTGAAAGACCTCAACATAGTGACTTCTGCAATCCTACAAATGACAAATATGACAGTATGAGCATCATCTCTACACAACAGCACAAACTCTATTGTGTGAACAGACTGTAGATGGAGAACAGGATCATCTCTGAATAATCAACTGCTCACTGAAGGCTTGATGTGCTGAAGATGTTTCTCTTGTCAGGCCTCGAGTGTCTGAAGAGCTTCATTACAGGTAACATGAGTTATGAAATCAGACTACTTTTATCAAGTAACTGGTAAAGTCTGCATACAGCTGCTAGAGATTCTTCAGGACCAAACTTAAACCCTTCTGTACAGGCCAACTGAGATTCATATTTGACCCTGAACCATAAAACCAGCCATAAATATGTTTTTTCTTAATCTGAGACTCATACAACACGTTATACATCACAACTGAATTAATAAGCTCTTTTCAGCAATATTTTACTGAGAAACTTTAATTTAAAGATCTGGAAACTGAGTGTTCAAAAAATCTAAATATTGAGAAAAAAATGTTAAATTGGTCAAATGAAGTGTTATTGAGCTGCTGGTAAATCAACATTCAGTTGATATCAGAATTATTTCAGTGTTGAAATGCTCTTTCATTGCAGTGCCTCAGTGTTGATTCTCAAATGAAATGATCAACAGCTTTAGCTATTACTATAAATGGCCAGTTTTCACACTTTACAAATGTGCTGTTTTTTAAATATTTCTCTTCCTCTTCCTGTGTCTGCATGACATCATTTCAAAAACATCTCCTGCAGTCGCTCTCATCTACACATGTCAGACAGCAGAATTCACTATTGTTCAGTATTTGAGAGTGAAAATGTGAAAACACAATTAGTTTGGGGACAGAACTGAGTAAAACACTTTAAATGAGTGTCTGAGCATCACCAGATGAAGCTTTACAGCTCTTAGTGTCACTTCCTGTTTTCTGCACAAACTCTGTCTTTACACATTAAGTGTTGGCAAAACACAAATATGACAGATGGAAAATGTTCTTAAATTATTAATAACTCATTAAAAGGTTAAATATTTTTTTAAATTTTAGATTTTTCATCATCAAGCAACTCATCAATCCAAGGCTCTATGTAAAATCTTGAGATTGTTGTGTCGGATATTCCTGTGTTGGATATGCTCTGCATTTGATATCTTTTTTCAATGGAATGGTCTCGACTGCAATGGCTGCCATGTGGTACAGCTGATTGGTGCTGACATCATAATATATATATATATATATATATATATATATATATATATAAAATTTAAATAGCAAATGCATTTATGCCACTTTGTGGACTCATAGGTGTGCTCGTCTAAAATGAAGGTCTCCTAAGGCATATAGTTGGTGTGTTGCTCCTAGCTAGCAAAATTCATGTGGCTCAAATCCAGCCCACACCAGACACTTACATCTGGCCCACATACTGCATGGAATGATCACACAGATTTCAACCAAATGTACCAGAATTGACCCTATTCTTGGCCACAGTTTGCTTTAATTCTGGCCCAGACCGGCCCACACCAGACACTTACATCTGGACCACATACTGAATAGAATGATGGCTCTTGGGCGGTCTGCTTCTGTTTGTCAGATCTGGGCCACAAATAAGCCAAGGCAATACCTCGTATTAGCCAGAACTCAACCAAATGAACAAGAACTGACCCTATTCTGGGCCACAGTTTGCTTTTATTCTTGCCCAGATCTGGCTTACACCTTACACTTGCTGGGTGTGGCAAAGTACAAAACTCCCAGCATGCATTGCAGTATGAATACATTCTATCCGTGTTTACGGATATACATTCGATGACGTGTTTGTGACGTATGTAATACTGTTTCCGGGTCCAAGCCGCCATTCATTTGAGCGGAGAAATCATTCATTTATGATCACTTTTTATTCATATCACACATTAAGGTTAATTTTACATAAAGTCATAGTGTACACAACAATCTCTGGGCTTGCTGCATAACAAATACCAAAGTTTTAACAATTTATAAAACAATGAATCACTTTCTGGCCATCGGATATTAGGCATGGACATATATATTGCAATTGTGACTTTCGAAAGTATTAAATCGCTTTGTAAACGTTTATAATTACCATTTCATGAATCTCCCCATTCAGTTGAATAGAGCGCTTGGACCCGGAAGCCGCTCCGCGTGACGTCACACTTGACAAGCGGATAGCTTATTGATGCTGCAGTTTTCATTATTTGCTGTTGATTCTGCTGTTTATGTTGACGTTGTTGATTTTGTCACTTTTATCTCTTGTTTGTGATGTTTGTCAGTTTTGTTAATTTTGTTAATTGTCGCCTTTGTTAAGGTTCTTACGCTGATTATTGATGTCTCTTTGAGCAGAAGTTGAACCATAGAATTGTTTTAGCTTATAAATTTTCATAATTCTTGTTCCTAACTGGTAAAATAAAGCTCAAGAGGCAGGAATAATACAATAAAATACAATACATGAAATACAATAAATAAATTCAGACGTATAATGACTGAACTGAAAATTATACACTGAAACACATCTATTGATGTAGATTATAGTGCAGCTGCTGTGAGGGGTCCTGGGGGCCGGTGAGGGCTCTCCATGCAGGACCAGCACTAAGGGCCAATATGTTAAGCAGCTTCCAGGTCCAAGCGCTCTATCAAACTATACGGGAGATCGCTAAATTATACAATTAAACGTTTACAAAGTGCTGTAATGCTTTTAACAGACCTGATTGCAATATAATATATCCACTTACAGTCAGAATTATTGGCCCACTGTTAATTTTATCCTAAATTTCTGTTTAATGTAAAGATATTTTTCAAAATACCAGTGTTCAGCTTAAATTTTATAGTATGTTCAATTTAAAGACTTTAATGTTTAAAGTCATTGTATAAAATAGTTTATTCTGTAAACAATCAAAAAATAAACTGCTTAAAAATTGATTGAACATTGCTGCACATTACACATGCATTTATACATATATTTACACATTACACATGCATTTATACATATATTTACACATTACACATGCATTTATACATATATTTACACATTACACATGCATTTATACATATATTTACACATTACACATGTATTTATATCGAGCTTCTGTTAACTCAACATTCAGCAGATGCATTCATACAGATATCAGTCGTACAGTAGCTTAACAGAATGATATGAATGTTGAAATGTTCTTACCGTGCTGCAGTGTCTCAGTGTCGACGCTTAAATGAGGAAAACATCAGCAGCTTAAACTATTTCCGTAAATGGACAGTTTTCACACTTTAAAAATGTGCTGACAAAAATATTTGTCTTTCTCTTCCTGGGTGTGTTTGACACCATCTCGAATACACCAGGACATGTCCTGCAGTCGCTTTTATTTACAGATGTCAAACAGCAGAATTTTGAGAGAGAAAATGTGAAAACACAATTAGTTTGGGGACAGAACTGAGTAAAACACTTTAAATGAGTGTCTGAGCATCACCAGATGAAGCTTTGCAGCTCTGTTTCACTTCCTCTTTTGACACATGAAGTTTTAGCAATACTACATGAACCACATTCACAGCCATCGGTGGTCGGTGTACTTTTTAGTGGGTCAGAAGCAACACTTACCACAAGAGCTCTGCAGATCAACCACAGGTGGAAATGTTTAGATTCAATAAATGTAAAGATTAAATAATTCTTTTATATTTGATTCCCCTGGATTTTAGTTCACTTTACAGTCATCTTGTGGTCAAAAAGATGAAGTGCACTTTACTGCTTTCAATAGTATGTGGTTGCAGACTAGCATATGTTGGCTGAAACTGCGTATGTCAGACATGCAATGTCAAACAATGTACTCAATGGAGCTAGTGATGTCACTGTGAGGGGCGGGGTTAGCTGTGGGGTTAAGTGAGGCCATTAAAAAGTATTGCATGCATGATCTCTGGACAAATAAATTGATTATTCTGTTATGTGCCCTCCCTATCTTGGGCCAGGGAAACATGCAACAGAATAACAAAGGTGAAAATTTATTTAAAAAAAACAGGAAGTAATTTTAGCCAAGTTAAATTTAATTAGAGGCCAGTTTGGATAATAGAAAATAACATAACTAAAAAATGATTAAAAAACTAAAAGGCAAGGCAGCCAACAATCATCACCCTTCTCCTGTCCCAGCACACCAGCAATAACTGACTCCAAATACAATGTCTGAAACAAAGAAGTACGTTTATTTACAGATTAACAAATAATAAATGACCAAGGCTAATGGTAGGTTTCAGAAATACTCAGGAGGGGATAATGCCAAATCAACAAACAAAAGATCTAACTGATCGTAAAAGGAACTTTCTAAATGTTTAAAATTAAATTAAAAAGATGAACAAAGACCTTACCTTGCTCCCTCTCGACCAGAAACAGGAGAAAAATAAATATATCAAACAAAAAGTGGCATCCGCCTCAGTACTGCTTCAAAAAGTTGAACCAAAACCAAAAAAACATAAAGTAGAAATCAGTTCTACTTAATAGAATAGTCAAAATTATCCTATATTGTTCCCTAACGATAGGATTTCTAACTTTCAACAAGTATCCCAAGTATTTTAATCGCACAATAGCTAGTCTGGGGCAGGAGAATCATGTGAGAGCCGCATTAGCCAGCTAGTGTTTGGCACAGTCTCAAACAGCCAACTAGCCCATGCCCCAGCCACTTAATTACCAACAGGTGAGACAAGGTTGGAAGAAAGAGAGAGGGAGAGAGAGAAAGAGAGAAAACAAAAGCAACAACACCCCCTCCCCCAAAATTTTCAATACATGTCATGTAAAATGGCAGTCAAACTCACATTATTAGCATTTAACACTGAATAAAGCACATCTGAGGTGATCTCTGTCAGTTTTCTGTTGTTCAGCTGTAAAAAAACAAAAGTCGTTTCTAATATATAAATTCCAGTTGTTGGTTAGAACAAAAAAATTTCCTTTGGATATGAAGAATATTCCTTCTATCGGATGCCATTGCTTTTATTTAAACACGACTTAAATCAGCCTTTAGGCTCGATAGTCAGACTCGCACCTGTTTGTCCTCAATCTGGCAACCTGCACTTGCATGTGTTTTGATCCAGGAATGCAATACCTAGTTCAACCACTGGGTGTCAAGCTTACATACTGCACCTGTAACTCTATACGAGCTGTAAAATAAGACTATTAAAAATAATAATAGTAAAAATTTAAATGTTCCCTAAAGACTTGGAAGAAAATGCTTTTTTAATCATTTAACTGCAAAATCCAATTAGAAATTTTAGTTAAGAAAAATAATGATAAGCCTAAAAAGGCCTCATTAATTTCATCATGTTGGCTTTCTCGTGTTCACGTGATATTGGTAAGGATGCTACAGTTGCAGGTCAGGAAGACTGTAATGAGTCGCGTCGGCAACACAGGTGAGGATGCAAATGCAGTTTATTAAGAGATTCATCAGGCAGGCAAAGGTCAAAACAGGGACAGACAGGAGCATGCAGATAATCCAAAGTGAGGTCAAAATAACAGGTGAATGATCGGGACAGGCGGCAAAACGACATAAACAATAAACAAAGGGTCAGAACACAGCAGGGCTAATCAAGGAAAACTCTTTGAAGTGCACACTTACTGTAGTCTATACAAGACTCAGCGAAGTGTGTGTGAGTGAAGTGTATTTATAGTCCTGGTAATCAGTCCTCATGAGTTTCAGCAGTGGTGAGATCTGGAACTGGTGTGTGGGATGCCTAATGGGATATGTAGTTTGTTAACGTGGCATATGTGTAGTTCTTCAGAGATCTGCAAATGCTAGATAGCTGGTGATCGTAACAATGAGAGTTCATATTCTTTATGAAACACCGATGCTGCTGTAGATCACAGAGGAATCATCCAATCTGTTCAACGAGAGTAAAACACAAGCGGATGATACAAGACAAAAGCAACGAATGCATGAAATCTTCATCTGAGGTAGACTCATTTCCTTTTTTTAAGTGTTTCGAGGTTTTTTTAACCCAGCGCATTCTGTTGACAGTTCATAAAACATGAGCTGAAGTGTCTCACCTGCAATTGCTCGCACTTCCATACTGACTTTCATCCTCCGCAGTCACTTTGTCAGCATTTCTGACGTGATGAACACTGGCGTACTGAACATCATCCTCATCTCCTGCCGTCTGATGCTCTTTGGGTCTTTTTTGACAGACGCTTGCATACATCACATCATTCTGATGGCCTGTATCTGGATCACATGAGTTCATCTGATCCATCACTGCTGTGCTCTTGTTTTCCTGTGTAAACACACATTGTTCAAACACTCACAATCTGATCGAAATAATCTGTAGAAATGCTCATACTATTGTGGACTTGCCTGTTTTGATAAATCACCTTGGACTTCTGCATCTGCTGTCTTCCTTCTGGAGAAGAAAAATAGGAAACACAAAGCATTCATGTGATGGAAGATACCAGAATTAAAGGGAATATGTTGTAATAAAAGTAATGTCATAAATAAAATAAGTGGACTGTATGCTTAACCTCTTAAATGACTCCCCCCCCCCCCCCTTTTTTTTTGAGCATATACATGACATATTTATCTTAAATGATTGCTTATCTTCAATGCTTTGGTGCAAATATTTAAGCTTTCGTCTCATTTTAAAGAAGTTAATTAGCTCAGATTATGAATAAATTTCATGAACTTGAAAGTAGAAAAAGTTTTCTGCCTTTATGTTTATGGAAATTTGAAAATAATTAATGTATATGATATTTTAATACATAAAAATTTATTTTCAAAACGAGTTTTAGCCTGAAATTGACAAAAAATCTGATTCAAACAAACAAATTTGAAGTTGAAATCTTAAAAATGAGCTTTCAGTAAGATGTTGTTTGGTTGTAGTACCAAACATGACCACAAGATGACATCCAATTTCCATTAGTGACCATACAAGGGTGCCCCCGATGTTTTAAGGAATATTAATAGTATTTTTTCCTACTTCTGACAATATTTGTAAAGTAGACATCATATTCTAACCTAGTATGGGCATTTTGTGGTATATGAGTTGAATTTAGCCTCTAAGAAACATCTAAAAACAACTAAACAATATTTTATATGTAGATTGCTGTAGCAAAGTAATGCTTTACAACTATCCTTGTTGTGAATTATTTAACTGTTACCCAGTAAAACCCAAAAATTTATTTAAATAAACACGACAGAAATGTAAATGCAGCCATTCAGAAGCACAGAATACTGCACTCACTGCCCTCCAACAACATGGTGGGATTTATAATCTAATGAATACATATTTAACCTCTTTAACATTATTAAATGTAGATGCTGAATCACTCATATGTGTTGGTTTTAAGTCTAAAGTTCAATTTCAGATGTTTTTTTTTTTTTCAAGATCTGAGGTGAACTATCTGCTGCTGCTTTCAATTATTTCAATTTCATTATTAGCATTCAATTTTGAGTAACGTGCATGAAGTGTACCTAAGATGATCACAGTAAGTTTTCTGTTGTTTAGCTGCGAAAAACAGAAGCTGTTTCTAAAATATAAGTTTCAGGTGTTGTTTAATATGGAAAATATTCCTTCTATCGCGTACTGTTGCTTTTATTTAAACACGACTTAAATCAGCCTTAAATCAGCCTTTAGGTATGATAGACAGGCTCGCTCCTGTTAGTCCTCAATCTGGCAACCTGCGCTTGCGTTTGTTTTGATCCAAGAATGCATTACCGAGATCATTCACTGGGTGTTAAACATACTGCACCTTTAATAAAATGGTTATGTTTTTGTTTTATTAATGTTGTTTCATGGTGATTTCAGGCCACAAAAGCTCTCTTTGTGGTGTTCAACAAAAATGCACTCTTACCTTATGATCTTTAGTGCCACAATAATAATGCAGATGCAGATGAATGCAGCACCAAATCCAGCAGCAGCGTACAGAAGTGTATTCTGGCCATCTGAGCACATACAAACATTATTTTACACTGATGCTCACGACACCAGCAGCATTCAGAGAGAGTTTACACTATCATTCATACCTTTAGCTGTTAAAGACACAGACGCTGATCTCAGAGAGCCATATTTATTGTGCGCCTCGCAGTAGTATCGTCCACTGTGATTGGTGTTAAAGCTGGAGATGCTGAAACTCTGTCCAGATCCAATAGCTGAGCTTTGATTCTCCTTAAACCAGCTGAAGTTCAGTGCAGGAGGGTTTGAGTCGCTGCTGCAGCTCAGAGTCACTGAATCTCCAGACACTATTACAGCAGATCCACTGACGGACACTGAGACGCTCTTTGGAGGATCTGAAAAACAATCAGCATCAGTGAGTTTGACAGTGGTGAATCTGAGGAGTGTGAGAAGCTGAAAGTCTCGCCGTACATCTGACGTTGAGCGTGAGAGCAGGAGATGGCAGATCTTTCAGATCTCTCACTGCACAGCTGTAGTTTCCAGAATCTTCCCTGCTGACCGACTGCAGAATCAGCTGATTCTCACCGACCCATTTTGAGAAAGACTCGCCGTTTTTATACCAGCTGAAGTTTGTGCTGCCAAGATTACAAGAGCTTTTACAAATTAAGACTGGAGAATCTCCTTCAACCACCTCTTCAGGAGTCTCCACTCTGAGCTCTGAAAACACAGGGGAAAGAGTCATATTTTTATGACTGAAATGATTAAATCTGTCTGTGCAATATTAGTTCAACTGTACCTGTCACTGTGAGCTCAATCCCAGGATAACCCAGATGTCGCTCTTTTTCTACCTTTGTCTCAATTCTGAGGCAGTACATTCCTTCATCCTCTTGTCTCACATTACTGAGCTTGACAAAAAAAAATTTGTCTTTGTCAAAGTACTCAACTCTGCCTGTATAATTCGAATTATCCAGCAGATTGATGGATTCTCCTATTTTTGGGTTTACAGTCCAAAATATCTTTGTCACAGTGAGACCATAAGGGTGTGTATAACTGCCTGATAAATGTATTGTTGAACTCTTTAAAGCACATATGGCCATTTTTGAGTACTTAACTCCCCATTTCTGTCTGCAAACCCCTGAAAAATAAAACAGGAATAACTTTTAAAATGTTTATATAAAAATATTGGGTAACACACATGGTCCATTTGAGTATTAGTAGACTGTCTGCTTAATATATGTTGATACTGACATTCAACGACATTTAACTGACTATAAGAAACTTTGCAAGTACATGTCAACTAACCCTAACCCCAACCTAACAGTCTAATTATAATCTAATGAGAATTAGTTTGCATGTAGATGCAACGTAACTTAAATTCAACACACAAACCATCAAAATAAAGTGTGACTAAATATTGTACAAAACTGCTAATTATGCTAAATGAATAAATGTTCATGTTAAAACACAAGGATCTCCTGCATTACATCCTTGTTGTTCGTGTTTTTACTTGTTTCTCTTCAATAGAGAATTAGTTTGCTTTCTCAACCAAATGTGTCTGTGTTAGTTTTGCAGAACTGTGAGCATTTCCATATGTTAGCCATTAAATGCTATTAAATATATTTATTTATTTAAAAGTTTCTATTTATTTAACCTTTTACAGCATCAATAATGTCAATTTATATTTAGTTTAACAACAAAATATCCGTAAATAGCGCTATTCTGCCTACAGCAGAGAAAGCTAAAATGCCTTCAAACTCTGCTATTCCCATAGAGCTTCTTCTGTTTTTGTATTTGGGCTATCAAAGGATATGGCACAAAGAAAGAAGTGCTTACTGTTTAATTTTAATTATGTTCCAGAGAATTATAAAAAAAAACATAGCTCTAGCATTTGACAAAGGAGAGCTTCCAAAATCTCTCTCAGTTCAATGCTGAATTAGACTAAAACTCCTCCAACGAATGAAGCTGAGGATTGTGAGCCACAACCTGTAAGTGTTTTTATTTGTTAAAATATACACCTGGACCAGCTAATCAAGCTTTCTCTAAGTATACTTGAAATGTCCAGACAGGTGAGTTGGAGCTAAACTATGCAGGACACCGGCCCTTCAGGACTAGGTTTGGAAACCTCTGCCTTAGCCCCACACTTTAAGCTAAAGAGAATTGGAACACCCCTACCCCTTTACAGGAATGCGCAAAATGAGGTAAGGAAAAGGGCTAAGGTGTAAAATTGGGATTGGACCTTTATCTCCTGTCAACAGTGTCACTGTATATTACAGAAAATTTACTTAATTCGAGCATCAGAAAAAATAAACATGGGTCCCTTACACATGCGTTCTCGTATCACATGCATCTACAGACTGTTCACACACACACACACACACAGAGAAAATGGCGATTCTCTCTTAAAGAAGCCGCACCCTATTTTGACTTGTTACAGACACTTGTCAGATTGTATCTTATAGAGCAGGCATGAAGTTCATCCTGTTCAATTTCTGTCTGATTAGGGCTCAAACTGATACTCCTAACAGCTACTCTGACTGACAGTATTTACACAGCAAAATCAAAGTGCATGCTTATGGAGGCGTGACGCTTTAGTGGTGACATGGTGCCAATCATAGCACATTATGTTAACTGACCAATCAGAGCTTTTTGAGGGCGGGCTTTTCAGAGAAACTAGGACATATTAGGTCGTTTTCATGTTAGCCAAGTAGCTGTATATAATAGCATGATTTTCTACAAGTCAAGTATAGGCACACATTGCTCTGCATCTTATAAACAGCCAAGTCTCAAAAATACACCCTGTACCACCCATTTAAGTAAAAAGAAAACATTAAAAAAAGAGTGCAGAAAAGCAACAAATATGTAGATAAAACAGACAAAACTCCCAGGAAGATTGAGAGTTTACACAATAACACTTAGTTTGAGACTTACCAGGAATCACAAGCAGAAAAATCAGAGAGAAAACGCAAAACATTCTGAAAGACAAAAGGAAGTCTGCTAAAGTTACACAAGTTCATAATGCCAATATGTATAAAAGACAGGTGTAATGTGTAGCAACAGACAGCTGTATTTGGATAAATTAAGATATCTGTCCTACCTTACTTTGCTTCAGTCTGCAGGGTTTGTGTATTGTGATGATTTATGAGCTTTTCACGATTGTTTCACTTCCTCTGTCCGAGCAAAACCCTCCTCCTCTTCCAGACACAGAGCACTCGTTTATTTATATCTATTTCTATCACTATCTCTGTGTGTGTATAAGTTTGTAAACATGCTAAGGATGTTTGACTAAATGCATAGAGTTGATCGAATCTGCACTAATGTATTCATAGAGAAGCGTTCAGCTGAAGACTCTATTTTAATGTTAGTTCACTAAACTCAAGTCAATGTGTCATCCACACAGCACTGAAGAAAATAGCACTTCTGTACATCAGCTTCCTGTTTTCTCTGTCTTTTTTTTTTTTTTTTTTTGCTGTATGCAAAGTTTGTTCTTGCAACATGCGTTCATGTGAGGGAGTTTCTTAACAGCTTTCTCTTAACATGAATTAACATAAGAAAAAAAAACTTTTCAAGCTAAACTCAAGTCAAGTTACACTTTTTTATTCTGCTAGATATGTATACATACAGTGAATTGAAATGTCAGCTCATGGTGCTACATCAGAGAAGTCCAAATTAGGGCCCTCTGTTACGATCACCAGCCTGTGTAGATTAATAACAGACTACATATCTGCTGGTATATGGACTACAAGTTCCAGTCATGCACCACACACATACACACCTGCTCCCGATCATGATTGATTACACTCACACAACTGGCAGCTGCTTAAAGACTGATTAGATGGACTTTAAATACAATGCAAACACCTCTTTAGTGAGTCTTGTTAAATAGTATTGTGAACATTATAATGCTTTGTTCTGACACTCGCTTTGTTTTGTTTGTTTATGTTGCTTGCTGCCTGCCTTTTAACCATCCACCTATTTTATGACCACGACTCTGAATTGCCTGTATACATCTGTTTGCCCCTCTGTTTACCGTTGCTTGCCTGTGAGTGGTACAGTATGGTTAGATATGGCTGTTTGGTATGGTTGGATATGCACCCTTTGCAAAGGGTACCTGGCACGACAAAAGGACAAAAGGATACCAAAAGACGAAGCTAGGCAGGACGTCAGACGCACTTCAATAATCATGCGAACTTTTTGAGCTAATAATAATTGCGTACATGTGATCATTGAAGTGCTTCTGACATCCGATCATTTCAGAAACAGAAAAACATGAGAGTAAAGTGCGAAAAAACAAAGGACAAGCCCAAAAAAGAAGGGAATGATTCTTTCAGCAACCTAAAAAATGAACAAACTGCCATGTTTAACTATTATCATCACTTTTGTACTATTATGAACTCAGAATGACGAAATTACTTTCTAACAGGAGGTTAAATGTGCTGCATTAAAGACTGTGGGCTATATTTGTGTCTTTTCTTTTAACCTAAATAAGGAATAAATGTATGCTGTGCAGTGTTGGGCAAGCTACTTAAATAAATGTAGTGAGCTAAGCTATTAGCTACTCTACTTAAAATGTAGCTTAACTACACTAAAAGCTACCCTCTTGGAAATGTAGCAAGCTAAGCTAAAAGCTAATTGGCAAAAGTAACTTAGCAACATCTAAGCTATTATTGCAATTTTCATTTTTAAATTGAAGCCATTTAAATCTTAGTGATCAATAAATGTCAATGAAACATATGAGGCTTAATTGTTCAGTTCAGTTATTTACTGCCAATAATATGCTGCACTAAACAGAAACACATTATAGGTATATAACAGCAAAAACTAAAAATAAACAAACATAATCATAAATATGAACACAACACTGGTCATAAAAGCTATTTTAAACCTATACAAATCTAACATACCAGAGCGGTAATCTAACTATACTATATTTATCTATACATATAACCTAAGACAGACTGTACAAGCGCCTTTACACAATATTATACAGGATATTGTGCAATAGAGGTATTTTAAAGTTGAATAAAACAAGAAGTGCAACATTATTTGTGGTACATTCATAGGTAAACATTGAAAGTATCAAGTGCCAACATAAAATTAATCTTGCATACAATGAACATGACGATATGATGATTTATAACATCTATTTAGCATTTATACTGCGATTAAAATAAGCTATGGTTTAACTGTTTTGCCTTTAAGATTTTGCAATGCATTAGTCTAGACTATAGTGACTTGCAGAATTCATGATGATGATGATGTCATATTTAGAAGGGGTGAAATGAATTTCGGCGTTATAAAAGAGAAGGGCAGACGTCACGCTGTTTTTAAACACCTTTCAGAAGCATATTCACACACACGCACGCACGTTACTATTGATAGTGACTGATCAGCACCTCGGACAGCGCCTCCACACCTCTGCGGCTGCTGGAGGGGATACAGCTGCGGTCAGGGGTAAACGAAAATTATTTATATTATTTATTAAATTATCCATCAATTGTGTTTTATTAACGTCTGTCTCCACCCAAACCCTAAACCCAACCATCACAGTACTGTATAAACAGTAATTTTGCCGAGTATTATACATGGTATTTAATAAATTACTCATTAAATTGTATTTTATTAACATCTACCCCTACCTCAACCCTAAATCCAACCCTCACATTAATGCTCTGCCTTAATTCTAAACCTGACCATCACAGTAATGTAAAAACAGTAATTATGCATTGTATTATTCATTGTATTTATTAAATTACCTATTAAATTGTATTTTATTAACCCAAATCCAAAACTTAACCCTCACGGTAATGTAAAAATATTAATTATTATTGTATGGTGTGACAATATTAACGTCTTTCCCTGCCTTTATCCTAAACTCAACTATCACAGTAATGTAAAAACAGTATACATTGTAGTATTCATATTATTTATTAAACTAACTATTAAATTGTATTTTGTTGAACCTAATCATAAACACAACCCTCACAGTAATGTAAAAATATTAATCAGTTTGACAAAAATTGCTATACAGCTGTATCCCATCTCAAACTCACAGACCTGACGCGCACCCTAGAGGTAAATACACGTAACTGATAATGAACTGCTAAAGGCTAATGAAATCTATTCCAATTCGCATACTATCTATCTAAATAGTATTTAAAATAGAATTCGTATGTCATAAATCGTATTATGTTAAAAGAGTTTGCCAAAGGTTTCCGGAATCCCCGAATGGTTTACTAGTTCCGGTATAAATTTTCAAAGGGGTGAAAAATGTAAACAAACTACAAACATGGCGGACGCGTGAGACCAACCGTCAAGTAGAAAGGCTTCGGTAAAGATATTTTTATTACTGTTTATCAATATCTAGCCAGCTGTAACATGTTTAAACCGCGTTTTCTGTGTTATATTTTCAGCTGCAACAGCAATACTGAACTTAGATAAAGACGTGTTTGGACCTTATCGTCTGAATGCAGAATTATCCAAACACCTGAGGAGATTTCTCTGCATAAAAGAGTCGTAAATGGGAGATTAACCTGCTGCTGCTTCACCAATAAGGTAGGAGATTAAATATGACTGAAATTATGTTTAGAGACTGAGCTCATAAGCAACACAACTATCTGTTAACGAGGAAGTAGCAAGCCATACTCTTCTGTTACACACTACAAAGTATATATCGTTAGACAATTTTCAGGGATGTAAACATGTTTTATTTCTACAGGCTCCGAGAATCTAAAATGAACCACATTTTGATAAATAATGTTATGATAGCCGTTTTAACATTAAGTTATGATGAAATTATGAAATAGTTTAATAACAAGCAGGAAATGTTCATGAGCCGATGACGTGACCACACTGAAAAGATCTATATTTTTCTAAATCAAACAAAAAGTGCTCAGGGGGAGCTTAAATAATGTGCCGGCGCTCTTTGGGCAAGAGATTCATCAGAATAAACAGCAAAAATCAGTCCAAGGCACTCGAAAGATGTGGAAAAACTATTGAATCAATCCTTTTAATCTTTAAAAACCTACACTTTTTGGCAGAGAGCTGCCTTCATCAGGGTAACAGTGATGGAGTTTCTTTTCAATCATACGGTCCAACCGCCAACTTATCCAGCATTTGTTTTACGCAGCGGATGCCCTTCCAGCTGCAACCCATCAATGGGAAACATCCATACACACTTATTCGCACACATACGCAATTTAGCTTACCCAATTCACCTATAGCGCATTTATTTGGACTTGTGGATTAAACATACTAAAATAATGTATTATACAAGGTCAACTCAACAATCCTAATCCTTAATTTAACTAATTCTTAGTTGAATGCTTATCTCCTCTAATGGTTCATTCTGACATTGTTTTAGGGCACTTATAGAAAAAAAGACCAACACATTCTTTAAAAAAATAAACATAACATATTTGATTACATGGGACTATACAAATAGTAATAATATTAACCCCACTAAAACTGCATTACATTATGCACATCCTGCCTGTTTATATGCATACTGTATATAGAAACAGCAAATCATGAGATGATTTCACAAGGTCATTCCAGTTCATTTATTTGTAAAGCATTTTTACTTTTAAAGCATTTTAATTCTAAAGCAAGCTAAATTAGAAATACTAAAAAAGGTAAAATGAAGGAAAGAAAAAATAAACAATAATGTTTCGAACAAGTTTAAGTATTAAGCATTTTTTATTCCTCTACAGATTTTAGGATTTTTAAAAAACAAAGCCATCCTTGAAGTATTAATATGCCATCAGAACACACGGCATCTTGTGTTGAGTTATTTCCGCAGTATTCATTTACTAGACACTTGTTAAGCAATGCTGGAGTCTTTCACAAGCAGGCGGTTGCTGGTTATGTGCAAAGCTGGAAATGCAAATCCTCTTGTCCATTATTTTTAAATATAAAATGCACTAGATTGATGAATTTAAATCTCTGAAGTTGTTTTAAATCAACAACACATTGATTCTCAAAACAAATAGACAAAGTTTAACATTCAGTTGACAATATTATAATAATCTGAGTCTTGTCCATCAGAGCTCTTCGTGTTTTCACTGGATCTCTTCATAATCTGGAGATAAAACACATGATGAGTAAGATCAGGTGTTATATGATAAACAGAGCCAGCAGAGTAACTCACATCCAGTGTGTTGTATTCAGAGCATGTGGAATTGGGGTAAAGGGTCATGTAGTAGGGGATTTCAGGAGGCTCCACCTGACAATCATGAGAGGATTAATTATTCGTTCATCATTGACCAATCACATGTGATGAAATTTACATACCGCACTGTGCTGTGGTTGTGGTTCTTTGCTGGTTTGCTCTTCTGACCGAGTCACTCGGTTCCTGTAAGAAAAAGAAATAATGAACATGAACACAAACTCACTAAGCAAATGTATTTTTATGTAACTTAAACTTAATTAAGTCCTTGCGTCGGGTTTCAACTTAAATTTTAAAGCTATTTTTACTAGATTTTAACTAGATTATTTTGTGAAACTGCAAAAACATACTTAAACATTTAACTGCAGTTTCTACATAAAATGAACACTAGAGGGCAGTACGACACTAACAACTTTTAATTTTCACACTAATGATATTTACTGGGATGTTATTGGCCAATAAAGGTTTATTTTCATTCTTTGCACAACAGCAAATAAATGAAATGTACAGCTCAATGTACACTAAAATTATTTTGTTAATTTATTTTACCATTTTTAAACAGGAAAAGAATAAAGATAATCAGGCCTTAACTAGGGATGTCCAGATCCGATCACGTGTTCTCAGGATATAAAGAATATAAAGGACTATTCAGCAAAATGTAATGGATCTTTGTATTTTTATAATTTTATTTTTGCTATTTTAATTATTTTAAAATACACAGAAACATGTTACATGGTCCTATAAATATCCAACTTATATTGAATTAACTGAATCGTATAATTGTATATCTAAAATGTTGAAAATTGCTTATTTTATTTTTATAAAACATTTTTCAAAGCGTATTGATATATATATATATATATATATATATATATATATATATATATATATATATATATATATATATATATATATATAGGAAAAACAATACCGACATTTAAGAATTTGACTTTCTACGATGACGGCCGACATCACAATATGCCGAAACCGTTCTTCAGCTGGTATAGCTGGCATAAAATTGCAAAACAAGCCGTCTGGGCTTTGAATTAAGAAGTGCAATTATTTCCTCATTGTTCAAAGAGTCTGCAAGTTCGTGGACATCGATGATCTTAAGCATGTCTTTTTTCGATGTGCAGCAGAAAAAAAAAGTTGGAATAAGTTCTCACCCAGATCTGAGGGAGTTTTTGTGCTACCAGTGCTGCATGCAGTGAACTCATGCTCAGTGTGGCACAATAAAGGTGTCATTGCCTAGGATGTCAATCAAATTAATCAAGCTCCTGCCACATATAAAACAATGGGTATTTTATTATTTAAAAATTTTAGATTAATTAAATGAAAATTAAGGAACATCCTGGATCTGTTTCTTTGCTCTTAACTTTTTAATGTATTATAGAAGTATCAGATTGGGTTTTGGTATTAGTAGATACTAAAAATTAAATGACTCGGACTCGGGGGCAAAACAAATTTGACAATCACCAAACATACAAGATGAAGAGAAACAGGCTACTATCTCAGTGGCTACAGCGATAGTTGATCATTAGATGACGAGCATGAGATTTTAAAAAATGTAATAATGCATTTCAGATTTGCAAAAATGTAGAGAGCGCCCTCTAGTGGATTAGTCATCTGAAACATGCAACAAAATATACCCGGAGAAGTGTATTTTATGTCTAGCAAAAATGTAAACTAAGGCACAATTTTTTATCCTGAGCTGAATTTGTACAGTTTAAACACTCACCTTCTAATCACCATGAAAACCATCACAATTACAAACATCAGAAAAGCAACTGCAATGATTCCTGCTGTGATCAAGACCCAAGATGAGCTGCTTTCTGTACAGACGAGAGAAAAAACATACACTGACCTCACGATGACCCACACCTTTACCACAACTCAGACAAAGGTTTGTGCACAGATGCACAGATTCAGATTCACTTTTATCTCTCATCTTCATCCAGATTCACAAACACACTCACACACATGTTCAGTTCTATAGACCAACACACACTGAGTCAAAACACACTCAACAGAGGAATCATCAGACTACATTACCAGCTGAGCTCGTCTGTGGTGTGACTGTTGTATTGATGCTGGTGATGTTGGAAACAACTGGAAAACAGTAAAGAATAAACAATTAATACTGAACATACAAAGAATACAGGAACATATTAGCAGTAATTTATATGAACTGACAGTCTTTTGCATAAGACTGCCAATTTAGATTTTTGCTCATTTTATTTTTTCTAAAGGTGAAAAAGTGAAATACTGTAGGACTCTAGAAAATCTACTAAATAATTCAAAATGAATGAGTCAGTTTTAGTTCTTCATGTCTGAACACCACAACATAAGCATAAATAAATATATCCAAAAAATATAAAGATAGTAGTTTGTTCAGTATAAAATTAAAGAAATGATTTAGCCTAAATATGTATGTACTGTAGCTGTGTGTCGTGAAACAAATAATAAATTACAAATATTTTTTGCTGATTAAAATAAAACTTCACTGGTTACAGATGTTGCAGAGATGCTGATGAGAGATGAGAGTCTTTCTCATTATATAAAACATCAATAATGAATTTACTCAAATAATAATTTGTCAGTGTTTGCTGCTGATCAGTGATGTGACGATAATGACTGACCAGATTCATCATCTGAAAACTGAAGAAAACAGTGATATCAATAAAACGTTGACACTTCAACCTTAAAGGTTCAGGACACCCTGGAGAACTTTTTTTTTTATATTAACAGATTTGTGTGTGTTGAGCATCAGTTAAGACACTGTTAGCACCTGTCAGCTTTAATTGTGGGGAAAACTGGATAATTTTGAGCTTTTGTCAGCTTATTTCAGCTTCCGGGTTTAAAATAATTTTTGGGGCGGGATCAAAATCGGCGACGTAGCGCAGAACTGCAAGTGCAATGATGACGCGTCGGTTTCTCATTATTATTAATAGCGGAGTCTTATCCTATGAGAAGAGCCGGCTGCTTAATTATTCATGAGAACACGTGCTTTCCGAAGGCAGACCTGCCAGTTTCAAGCAAGCTGTGAGTGAGACACAGACCAATGGCACATAGCCGTTCATGAAGGCTCGTATGTGTTTGTTTCCATGATCCACAGGGTTTGTTGCATGTTTTCTCCCCGCGATCCTGTCAGGGCCGATCATACAGCAAAGCTGTGTGTGTGCTGCAAGCATTTTTTGTTGGGAGAGCAGCACGCGAATCAGAGAATGGCGGACGTTAACTTTTATCAGGAGTTCGTTCACATTCAGACACATCGCCTTGCTGCTGTGTTTGCCTAAATCCTCCAGATTACCAGCAGGGCTAATGGTTAAAATAGACAGGTCAGGAGACCTGCTGCACTGAGTCTGCTGGATACGGGGATTAAGGGAGAAGTCCTCATTTATAGTGTTTACATGAACACACTTATCTTTATAATGATATAAATTGTGGTTATGTGTATATGAAATTACGAATAACAAATGTAGCAGGGCATTAAATCACTGTTCATTTCTTTGCATTTTAACTTTGTAAACTATAAACTCATGCGTCTCCTCACGGTTTGTGTCTCATTTTGTGAGCTAACTGACAACAACAGTTGTTCGCTCCCCCTTCTCCCCTGCTGGCCGCGCCCACTCCTGCCCGATGCTCGCGGAGCTCCACGCCCATTAATCCTGCATCTTTTGAAAAAATTCTGAAGTAGACTTTAACCAAAAGTGGGGGGTGTCATGACCCTTTAATAACAGACAAATGACCAGACACACGGATATCATAAATGTGTAGAAAGAACTGATGTGAATATCATTAATTACCTGCACAGTAGGCCGAAAAACAGGCAGTTGGTCTAAGCAGCTCATAGACATAATAATTTCCTTGACAGGCTTTGACTCGAATAGGATAAGATCCAATATAGCAGCAGTAATTATCCCAGTGACCACAGACATCTCGAGTGACGACTCCATCCTGTACTGTTGGGTGTCCACCACGAATCCACAGTGGAGCAAGAGTGCCACAACTATAGACTGCAACACATGTGTCTGGGATCTGAGCGCTCAGACTGTTAATGAAGAGCCGATACCAGCCGCTCCAGGAGACTGACCAGTCACACATGTTGACTGATTTTGATGGCTGACTGCTGTTGGCTCTCCATGAATCGCTCAGCACAGTGTAGTTGTAGCAGGGATCTGCAGAAAGATAAACCATAAATAACAGAATGAAATAAAATAAAGGACCTCATCAAGATGGCGCTGCGGATGCCGCCTCGGTGTGAATTTCTCTAGTGTTCGCACTGTTTTTGTTAGTCTGTCCTGTTTTATGTTTATCAAACAAAATCAGTTACACCAGGAATGAGCTGGTGAACATTAGGCAGTGCACAACAAATAATCAAGAACAGGATTTTGATTTCTCTGGTGTTTTGCGGAACATTGTTGTCGGCGGAGCAGCTGCACTGTGGAAACGCTACAAGACGTGCAAGCATGGAAAGCGAGCCAGCGCGCTCGTCAGGCTGAGAAAGTGCGGCTTCAAAACGGCACTGCCCAGCATTTAACAACAGCATGCCAAAGAACTTTTAACAACTCTGCTGCGAAACAAAGCCGTTCCGGACAGCGCATTACACCTACCAGACTTTCAGCTGTACAGAGCAAATCAACACGCTGATCAATGGATCACCAGCTTTCTGACAGATAGACAACAGCTAGTCAGAATGGGCAAAATTACATCGGACAGCTGCACCATTAGCACTGGTGCCCCCCAGGGATGTGTTCTCTCCTCACTGCTCTTCCCCCTGTACACCAACGACTGCATCGCAAAAGACCCCTCCATCAAACTCCTTAAGTTTGCAGACAACACTACTGTTATTGGCCCTTTACTCGAACAGTGACGAGTCTGCATACAGACAGGAGGTGGAGCGGCTGGCTTTATAGTGCAGATACAACAACCTGGAGCTGAACATGCTCAAAACACTGAAGATGATAGTAGACTTTAGAAGAAACCCCCCTGCACTCCCCCCACTCACCCTCATGAACAGCACTGTGGCTGCAGTAGAGTCTTTCAGGTTCCTGGGCACCACCATCTCTCAGGATCTGAAGTGGGACATTCACATAGACTCTATTGTGAAGAAAGCCCAGCAGAGACTGTACTTCCTTCGTTAGCCGAGGAAGTTTAACCTGCCACAGGAGCTGCTTGTACAGTTCTACTCAGCTGTCATCCAATCCATCCTCTGCACTTCAGTCACCATCTGGTTCATTTCAGCTGCCAAAACCGACCTCCGTATACTACAGCGAGGAGTCTGGACTGATGAATGAATCATTAGCACTACCCTTCCTACACTTTAATAACTGTACTCTTCCAGAGTGAGTAAAAGGGCTCGCAGAATCACTCTGGACACCTCGCACCCAGCACACTACCTGTTCAAACTGTTACCGTCTGGTCGGCGCTTCAGAGGACCAAGCACAAAAACAGCCAGACACAGGAAAAGTTTCTTTCCTCTGGTCATCTATAAGTTGAGCTAATTTCGCTACAACACCAATGTTCCCCAACCCATTTATCTGTCCGCTAAATCATCCAAATTGAAAACATTACAGCTTTTCAGAATGCCAAGGATGCAGCGTATATCACGTGTCAAGATCTGACCAATCTGCTTCATTCTTTGTATGGAATATACACATTTCGGTAGACGAATTAACCTCAGACAAACACAGAACACCCAAACACTGCAGAGCTTTTTAATGTTCTCCATCAATAAAACTTGTATCAGAGCTGCAGCAATGTTTTGTCAGCCTGTCATCAACTGAAAAACTGTTGATGGTCACCTAGAAACTCAGTATCCAGTATGTGCACTGCTGGTTCACCATTTAGTGATTTACTCTTTATGTGTAATATAGAGTTCCCAAATACATTTCAAAAATTCATAACCTGGTTATTTTCTAAATAAAAAAACAGCCAGATATACAACTGCTAATGACTGAACACTCCTGTCCATCTTTTCTTATTGTTCATCTGTTAGAAAATGTTTAACAAAATAATTTTTCTGCTGTAGCTGATGTGTGGACTTCACTGATCTCATGAAACTAAAACAACATTATTCTCAATATTAAAGTCAGCAGTGTTTCTTTACCAGGCGTGATGATCACCGGTGTGGCGGCTGTAGAACTGTTTGTAACACTGCCAACATCTGAAAATGTACACCAATAAAACATTACGAACGGATAAAAGTCCATGAAGGAGATGAAAACACTTGATATTTGAGAATGTAATTTACATGTAAACCTATTCAGAGCAAAATCTATTTATGATCCTTAATTAGAGACGATCACAAATATGAATGTGTAGAAAGAGCTGATGTGAATATAATTACCTGCACAGTAGGCTGAGTTACAGACAGCTGGTTTTAGCAGCTCATAGATATAATAATTTCCTGGACAGGCTTTGACTCGAATAGGATAAGAGGGGAAAAAGCAGCAGTAACCGTAAGCGTTAGCGCAGACATCTCGAGTGACGACTCCATCCTGTACTGTTGGGTGTCCACCACGAATCCACAGTGGGAAAGAAGTGCCACAACTAGACAGTGCAACACATGTGTCTGGGATATGAGCACTCAGACCGTTAATGAAGAGCCGATACCAGCCGCTCCAGGAGACGTACCAGTCACACACGTTGGTGTTATTTGTATTATTGACGGATCTCCATGCGTCATTCAGCACAGTGTAGCTGTTGCAGGGGTCAGTCAGATTAGCTGTTATAACACATACATAAAAACAAGAAAAGAAATGAGCATTTATTAAGAACAGCAAAAGACATAAAAAAACTCATTCAGAGGGATCCAGCTCAGAATAAATAAACAATTAACAAATAATAAATCCTAACAAAAACTTTAATTCTGTCAGTTTATTTACATTTGTATTCTTTCTAATGCAGTTACAGGATTGTTTTGATATCAGTGTGTTTTAGACAAGAAAAAAACAAACTACTAAACTAAAAGTAAAGATTAAACATGACGAGTCTCAGAGCAACAACCTGCAGCAGGAATGAACAAATATTACAATAACTGATAATATCTAATAAAATATCAGTATCACTCTGAAAAAAAGATATTCACACTTTAAAAATATAATTAA